AGTCGATGAGCTTCAACACGAGGCTACCTTGAATTCAATATTTTCCGCCTGCGCGCGGGACCATGGTGCCACCATCGGTCAGCCCACGCCTGCGAGTCGCAGGCCGACACGACGAACTTCTGCGGCGGCGGCGCGTCCACGTGATGGACTGCGGCCACATTTGGTGCGACGTCACGGACGCGCCGAGCGCGACGGCCACGCCGACCTTCGCCGGGGGCGACTGGCACCAGGGCACCTACACGACGGGCTACTGGGACTGCTGCAAACCGTCGTGCTCCTGGAGCGGCGAGGGTGACGTCGACGCGCCCGTGCTCTCGTGCGAGGCGGAGACGGGCGCGACGCTCTCGTCGCCGGACGTGATCTCGGTCGGCGGCGGGGGCACGGCGGCGTCCTGCGCGAGCAACCAGCCCTGGACCTACAACGACAGCGTGTCGCTGGGCTTCGCGGCCGCTGCCGTCGGCGGCATCACGGGCCTCGACGGCGACAGCAACCGCGGCCAGTGCTACGAGCTCGTGTGGACGGACGAGACCTTCGGCTGGGGCGGCGGCGCGCACGCGTCGCTCGTCGGCCGGTCGCACGTCATCGAGGTGACGAACATGGGCTACGCCGTCACCGACGACCACAGCTTCGACCTCCAGATCCCGAGCGCGGGCCAGGGCATCTTCGACACGGGCTGCGCGATCCAGTTCCCGGGCTACGACAGCGGCGTCTTCGACTGCGACAACTCGGGCTGCGGCCGCCCGCCCGACGACCTGCGGTCGGGCTGCGTCTGGCGCTACGACTACCTCTACAACGAGGGCGACACGAGGAACAACCCCTACGTGCGCTTCCGCCGCGTGTGCTGCCCGGCGGAGCTCGTGGCCATCACGGGGAGCACGCCCAACGACGACGACTGCCCGGCGCTGGACCTCGGCGCCTACGCGAGCGACCACACGAAGCCGCCGACGACCACGGCGCCGACGACGGCCGACGGCGGCGTCGACTTCGGCGGCGCCCTCGACGGCGCGCCGACGGCGGCGCCCGTCGCCGACACCCCGGCGCCCGTCGCGCCGTCGCCCGCGCCGACGCCCGCGCCGAGCACCGCGAAGCCGACGGCCGCGCCGAGCACCGCGGAGCCGACGACCGCGAAGCCGACGCCGGCGCCGACGACGCCGGCGCCGAGCACGGCAGCGCCGAGCGCCGCGCCGACGGCGTCGCCCGCGCCGACGCCGGCCGCGGCGCCGTCAGGCGGCTCGAAGAATAAGCGCAGCGCCGTGACGAAGCGCGTCCCGGAGCCCTCTAAGCTATGCTCAATTAGCGTCTCGAACTAGAGAAGAATACGCCGCCATCATCTCCCGCATGACCTGCAGATCAGCCCCAAGCAGGCCGTATTCCGCATCCGTGCCCTCGAGAAGGCGGTTCCGCGAGTCTACCTCGACCGTCTCTGCCACCCACGCGGAGTGGTCGTCGTCGAAGCAAATCCCCCTGATCTCCCTCCTTTCCTCTTCCTCCTCGTCGTAGAAGCGCTTGTTCAAAAACTCCTGTTCTAGCGCCACCTGCTGCGGGTCGTCGTCCTCCTCCCGCTCGGCCCACTCCAAGATGACGTTGAGCTTCTCGCTTTCATACCCTTCCGCGTCTTTACTCAGATGGTCCAGCGTGTACGGCTCTCGCTGTAAACTGTGTAGACCTTGACCTGCGACCTGTGTTCCCAACCACTGCTGCAGTTTGCCGACGTCGCCCTCTTCCAGACACCCGCCCATGACCGCGTCGTCCTCCGACTCCGAGCCGTACAAATCCACTTCCCGCTCCTCCTCTTCGTCGTCTTCGTCGTCTTCTTCCATCTCTTCGTCGTCTTCACCCGCCTCCTCACGGGCACGTTTCAGATCCGCGCGCGTCGGCAGCTGCTCAGAGTGATGGGGAGGGGGACGATATCCTCCTGAGGTGACGCCGGACCTCGCCGTCGAGCTCGTCGGCGGCTTCCGCCAGCCACGGTACGTCTTCTTGCCCACGACCTTGCCCGGGAAGTCGTAGTTCGAGCCGTAGTCGATGAAGAGCTGCGTCCCCTTCCGGATGTTGCACTTCGCGTGGATGTAGATGCGCGGCGGCTGCGGCGGCGTGCCCGCGACGACCAGCGCGTACGCGTTGGCGTCGTGCTTCTTGCGGTGGTTGATCCAGCGCGCGATGCAGGTGGAGTTCGCGGCGTCGATGTACTCGTACTCGCGGTCGCTGTCGCTGTCGCTGTCGCTGTCGTCGCCGCCCCCGCAGCACATGAGGTAGGCGTCGCGCCGCAACAGCGCGCGCTTGTCCGCCTCGTCCTGGTCGATGAGTTCGCCTTTGTACTCGCACATGCGTTTCCCTTCGAGGATCTTGACCTTCGTGTAGACGCCGAACCCGCCAATGCCCAGGTGAGCGGTGCTTTTCAGGATCAGCAGGGACGATGGCTCGTGCAGGGGCAGGGCGAGCGGGGCGGCCGTCGAGGCCGCGCCGGCCAAGAGGTTGAGGCCTTGGACTTGCACGCCATCTCGCGTCGCTCCCGGCGGGAAGTCCGGATGCCCCGGGTGGATCAACTGCACTGGGGCGGCATCGCGGCGCTGCGGCGCCTCCGGGTCGCCCAGGTTGCCGACGAACTCGCCATCGGTGCCGCCGGGACGCGTAGTTTTGCCCTGCATGCTCTCCTTCGATGAGGTCTGCGGCGCTTCTTCAACATGCTTGGCTGAAGCTCACGTAAGTGCTCACGTGCTCGAGAAGTTGCTCGACCACACTGAGCTCCTTTAGAAGCTTCGACACTGCAAGTCCGTTGTTGAGGCGTCTAACGTCAGCCTCAGACGCATATCACTCCCTTACCCGCTCAGGTGCTTGGGCCGCCGCGCGGCGTCCTCAAAGGTCGGCGTGTTCGCCGCGGACGCGTTCGCCGCGACGCGGCCGAGCGCGGCGCCCCGGAGCTGCGCGGCGAAGACGGCGCCCGCGGCCGCGACGGCCGCCGCGAGCGCGAAGTACTCCACGCGGAGGTCGTAGCGCGCCTCCCAGCCGCGCGCCGCCGCCGCCTTTTGCAGCGACAAAAAGAGCGGCACGGCGCAGGCCGACGCGAGGTTGCCCGCGGTCTGCATGAGCGCGACGATCGTGTTCTCGTCGCCGTCCGGGTGCGTCGTCTCGACGGCGAGCTCCGCCGCGAGCGGCTGCACGGGCCCGACGAGGAACCCGAGGAGGAGCAGGGCGCCGTCCAGCGACGCGCGCGTCGTCTCGTCGCGCGCGACCATGAGCAGCGCCGCCACGGTGCCCGCGAGCGCCGCGGCCGTCGCGGCCTTGTAGCGCTTCGACGCGTCGACGTAGGACCCGAAGCCCACGGACCCGGCCAAGATGCAGACCTGGAAGCCGGCGCCGAGGCCCGCGACGCGCCGCCGCTGCACGGCGCCGCGCTGCGCGACGGGCTCGTAGCGGCTCTCGCCCTCGTAGACGAGGTGCGGCAGGAACGTGGACACGAGGTTCGACGTCACGATCGACGCGACGAACGCGACGACGCAGCCCCGGAAGCCGCCGACCGCGGCGAGCTCCCGCAGCGACGTCCACAGATCGACGGTCAGGTCGAGGGCGCCCTTGCCGACCTGGCGGCCCTGGACCATCCAGCGCGCGAGGCGCCGCCGCGGCGTTTGGCGGCGCGCGTGGGAGAGCACCGTCGTCGGCGACGGCGACGCGTTCGTCCGCCGCAGGCCCTCGAAGTCGCGGCGCCGCTCCTTCTTGCTCCGCTCGCGCTGCTTCGCGAGCAGCGCCGCCGCGGACGGCGCGCGCGACGGCAGCGACGCGAAGTGGACGGAGCAGCCGAACGCCAAAAGCGTCGCGAGCGCGGCCAAGCACCGGTTGTACATCGCCAAATCGCCGTCGGACCGCACGAGGCCCGCGCCCACGGCGTAGGCCAGCGCGATGCCGAGCTGGTTGCTGTTGAGCGCCACGGTCGCCGCCAGCGTCGTCTCGCCGTCGCCGAACCAGTTCGCGGCGAGGAGCGACGGCGTGCACTGGAAGAACGGCTGCGCGGCCCCCACGAGCATCGTGCCCGCGACGACCAAGTACGCGGGCGCGTAGTAGGCCGTGTCCAGGGGCGTCGCGGCGTCGTCGTCGTCGGAACCGCCCGGCGCGCCGTCGTCCGAAACCGGCACCGCGTCGAGGCCCGCGGCCGCGTAGCCGGAGGTGACCGCGAGCTCCGACGCCAGGGACCGAAAGACGCAGCCGACGGCCATGGCGACGGCGCCGCCGACGACGGCGCCGCGCAGGCCCACCCGGCGCACGACCGACGGCTCCAGGAGGCAGAAGACGACGTTCGTCGCGAGGAAGCAGCTCACGAGGTGCGAGTCGTGGAGCCGGAAGTTCCGCGCGATGAGCGGCGCGATGGGCGCCGCGGCGAAGCAGATCCAGTCCGACAGCAGCGCCAGCGCCGACAGGTAGAACAGCATGAGCCAGCGCTTCCGCGTGGGCTTCACCGCGGGCCGGTAGACCGCGTACAAACTCGCGCCGGGCGACGGCAGCGCGGCCGGCGACACCGCGCCGTAGCGGACGCCGGACTCGCGCAGCGCCTCGGCCTCGCGGAAGTAGGGCCCGGAGAAGCCGAGCTCGGCGAGCGAGTCGTTGGACTTGGGGTCCGGCCGCGCGTTGACCAGGGCCTCGAGCTCCGGCACGGCGGACGTCGACATGGTGTTGCGGTGGCGCCGGTCCTTGCCCTTCTCCGCGGACTGCGGCGTCTCGTCGCGGATCATCGTCGAGCGGTTCTGCGCTGTTGTGGTTGCTGCGTTCGTCGCTGCGTTTAGCGAGATTCAGGGCGCATGTTGTGGTGTTGCGGCGCTGCGTTCGTCGCTGCGTTCAGCGAGATTCCGGGCGGGAACGCGCGCGCATCGATGCTGTCAGCAAAAGTGCACCGTCGTCGATGAAGGGCAACACGGCCGACAAAACATAAAGCTGCCCGCGGTTGTGGGCCGCCGATGCGGTACCCCGGCGAGGCGCGGTCCCCGCGCAGCGAGCGCATGGCCGACGCCAAGCCGGGTATGCGCAAGAAGAAGGAGGTCTTCAAGTCGCCGGAGCGGTTCAATTGGCTCATCAGCCTTTTGTACGGCCGCCAGGAGTTCGGGGAGTGCCTCAAGGTCGTCGAGCAGGCCCTCGAGGAGAGCGGGGGCCTGAACGAGTACCCGCTCTACATCAAGGCGCTCATCATGCGCCAGCAGGGCAAGATCCAGGAGAGTTTGACGCTGTTCCAGAGCGCGACGTGCCTGAACCCGTCGAACGTCGCGAACCTGAAGCAGGTCGGCCACAGCCTCTACCTCCTGGGCAAGCACAAGGCGGCGCTGGGCGTCTACAAGCAGGCGCGGGAGATGTCGGCGGACATGCAGCGGTCGAGCTCCGACGGCGGCCGCGCGGACGCGGGCGACGGCAACGACTGGGAGCTCTGGCACAACTCGGGCCTCTGCCACGCGTACCTGAAGCAGTACGACAAGGCCATCGAGGCCTTCACGCGGGCCAACGGCATCGGGCGCCACGACGCGACCTTCATGCAGCTCGGCAAGGTCTACCAGCAGATGGGCAACCACAAGGAGGCGCTCCGGGTCTACCAGGACGCGCTCGACTTCAGCCCCGAGAACCCCGAGCTGCTGTGCACCATCGGGCTGACCTACCTGCGCCTCAACGAGCACCAGCGCGCCTTCGACTTCCTGGGCAACTCGTTGACCCACGACCCGAAGAACCCGAAGGCGATCTTAGCGGCCGGGTCCATCATCCAGGACAACAAGGACATGGACGTCGCGCTCCACAAGTACCGCGTCGCCGCGGTGCAGACGCCCCACAGCGCCCAGCTCTGGAACAACATCGGCATGGCCCTCTTCGGCAAGGGCAAGAACGTCGCCGCCGTGTCCTGCCTCAAGCGCGCGCTCTACTACGACCCCTTCGAGTGGATCATCTCCTTCAATCTGGGGCTCGTGCACCTGCACACGGAGCAGTACGCGTCGGCCTTCCACCACTTCAACACGTCCATCAACCTCAAGGGCGACTACGCCCAGTCCTACATGTACCTCGGCGTCGCGCTGTCGAAGATGGACGACGCGGCGAACGCGTTCGCGGCCTTCGACAAGTCGCTCAAGCTCGCCGACGACTACACGACGCGCCTCAACTACGCCATCGCCCTCGCCAACGACGACAAGCCCGACGACGCGCGAACCCACCTCGACGCCTACGAGGCCATGCTCAAGGACATGGGGCCCGACGAGGAGCACGAGGAGGGCCTGCTCGAGCACGCGAAGGTCCTCCGCGACAAGCTCTAGGTGTAAGGGCCGTTTCCTACGCGGGCATGATGGAGGAGTAGTGGACCTCGGCCCAGAAGGCGACCCAGATGGTCCGCGCGTGCGCCGGCGGCGCCTTGGGCTCGACGCGGAGGATGCCGCGCTCGGCGTAGGACGTCGAGGCACGCGTAGACCCCGTACGCGTCGGCCGCGGCCTGGAGCGTCACGTTGTCGCCCCACTCCGCGTCCTTGGCCATGCGCCGCACGAAGCCGTCGAAGTCGGCGTCGACCGAGGCCTCGTCGACGACGCAGAAGTCCTCGTAGCGCTCGCGCTCGAGCGCGAGCCGGCGCGCGACGCGCGCGCGGACCTCGCCGCGCCGCTCGACGTCCGCCGCGAGCTGGTGCGCCGGCGCGCGGCACTGGCAGTTGCCGTCGCCCGCGACCTCGTGCTCCCGGAGGCCGAAGTCGTTCAGCCGGTCGCGGGAGTCGCGTCCGCCGGACGCCGAGGCCCTCGTCGGACGTCGCGCGCCGCGCCGTCGACGGCCGGAGGATCTCCGCGGTCGTCGCGGCGAGGCTCGCGGAGTCGCCGAGCTCGCGCGCGATCCAGCTGTCGGACCGGCCCTCGAGGGTCGCCTCCTGGAGCACGAAGTCGCTCTGGGAGATCTGGCGCGCGGCGGCCGAGACGTCGAGCGACGCCCGGAGCTGGCGCGCGAGCGCCTCGTCGGCCCCGACGCCGCGCCGCTGCGCCTCGAAGGACCGGAGCGCCTGGGCCTGGAGCACGCCGTGGCCGATCGCGGCCGACGACGTCGCGAGGCCGTCGTCGCCGGGCCGCCGCCGGGCCACGAGCGCTTCCTCCTCGACCGCGGCCGCGTACGTCGGAGGCGCGTCGCCGCTCAGCGCGTCCCGGATGCGCGCGCGCTCCGACGGGCGAGGGGAGGAGCACGACGGCCGCGGCGGCGACTCCGACGGCCGCGGCGGCGACTCCGACGGCCGCGGCGGCGACTCCGACGGCCGCGGCGACTCGAGGACCCGCGGGAGCGACGCGTCCAAGGCGGCGGCCGGCGGCTCCGGCGCCGCCGGCGCCTCGGCCGCCTCCTCCGGCTCCTCGGCCGGCTCCTCCGGCTCCGGCGCCTCGGGCTCCTCCGGAACTGCCGCCGGCGCGCTGGGGGCCTCGGCGGGCCGGCGGGTGGCGAGGGGCGGCGGCGGCGGCGGTGGGAGCGCCCGGGAAGGCTCGGGTTCCTCGGTGCCGCGGGGACAGAGGTTCAGGCTATCCCGGAAGCGCAGGTTCGGGTCGCCTAACACGAGAGATCGCAGACCGCCGATGAAGGTTTCCGACGCCAGGTTTGCTGCCCCAGGGTCGCGTTCCTCTCGGCTATCGCGTCCCGGAGAGCGCCGAGAAGCGCGCTCTTCGAGTTGAACTTGGTGAGGCAGAGATGCACTGCGAGAGCATGAGCTGTCCGTGAGCTCTCGCATGCGCCTCGCGCTGGCCCGCGCCCTCGTCATGAGCGCCGGCTCGGAGCCGCGGCGGTCCGGCGGCGCGCTGCGGCGCCTCGCCGGCGGCGACAGCCCGGAGGCGCTCGCCGCGGCGCTGCGCACCGAGGGCTGGGACGCGGCGGCCATCGAGGCCGCGGCCGACGGCTCCGGCAAGAGCGCGGTGCACTTCGCCGCGTGGCGGGGCCACCCGGACAACGTCGGCGTGCTGCTGGACTTTGGCTGCGGCGTCGACGCCGCGGCCACGGGCGAGTTCTCCTACGGCAAGACGCCCCTGTTCTTCGCCGTGACGCGCTGCCGCGACGAGACCGTGCTGAGGCTGCTCGAGGCGGGCGCGGCGACGAAGATTGTCAATAACAAAGGTCAAAGCGTGCGCACCCTGGCCCTCAGCCACGTGAGCGACGCGACCTACGCGGCCGTCGTCGCCGCCGAGGAGCGCGACGGCCGGCCCTGGCGCAACTACCGCGCGAGCCACGGCGACGGCTTGGTCTACGGCGACCTGGACGCGCGGTTCCTCGAGCGCGAGCTGACGCCCGAGGACGCCGTCGTCGACGTCGCGGTAAATCCGACGACCAAGGCCTCGCGGCACGGCGCCTTCGCGCGGAAGAACCCCGACGCCGTCGTCGAGGCGCCGCCGAAGCAGCGGCCGCGGCCGAAGGCGCCGTTCGTCGCGTCTTCGGAGAGACCGGCGGACGCCGAGGCCCTCGCAGCCGCCTGCCGCGCCTGCCGCGGCGCCGACGACCTCGCGGCGGCGTTGGAGCGCGTCGCCGGCGCCTGGGTCGGCTACCAGGGCGCCTGGATCGCCGACGTCGCCACCACGCTCGAAGGCTGCGCGGACCTCCGCGAAGCGGTGGAGGTATTGGAGGCGCCCGAGCGAGCGTCGCGCCTCGCCGCCCGCCTCGGGCGCCGGGCGCTCGACGACGGACCGCCGCCGCCACCGCCGCCGCCGCCGCGCACGCGCCGCCCCAGGGCAGACGACGTCGCACCGGCGCCGCCGGTCGACGCGACCCTGCCGCGGGCCGCGCTCGCGGCGCCCGCGACCTGGGTCGACGACGTCGCCGGCCTCGACGCCGCGCGGGCCGCGCTCCGCGGCGCGCGCCGCGCGGGCTTCGACGCAGAGTTCTCAGCGGCCGGGGGCCTCGCGACGCTCCAGGTCGCGCTCGACGGCGGCCGCACCTTCGTCGTCGACGCGCGCCGCGGCGACGGCGCCTACGCCGACGCCTACGCGCGCCTGCTCGAGGATCTCAACAACCTCCCCTTCCTCTACGGCTACGCGACGCGCGAGGACCTGCGGCTCATCGGCGGCGGCCACAACTGGCGCAACGTCGTGGACCTCCAGCCCCCCCGCGCGCAGCAGCCGTCTCTCCAGCGGACCGCGGCGGCGACGCTCGGGCTCTACGTCGACAAGGCCGAGCAGTGCTCCGAATGGGACCGGCGGCCGCTGTCCGCGAGCCAGCTCGCCTACGCGGCGCTCGACGCGCGGCTCTGCCTCGACCTCGCCGACGCGCGGGGGTTAAGTTGAAGACGTCTAGCAACATCAATCTTGCGAAGCTGCCCATTCCCGGGGGAGCACGATGCGTGCCATGTTCGCGCGGCGGCTCGCCACGACGACGCTCGAGATCGGCATCGGGTCCATCGACGCGGCGACGTCGACCTGGGGCACGACCATCGCCGTCGTCCTCTCGATCGTCCTCGCCGTCGCCTACTACCTCGAGCGGCGCCAGGGCCGCGTCGCGCCCGAGGCCGACTACGGGCGGCGGCACGCGAAGGTCGACGAGGAGCAGGACGCGCCGCTGATCGACGGCGCGGAGAAGCGCAAGGTCAAGGGCTTCTGGGCGGCGGTCTGGGCCGACCCGCAGACGCGGGAGTGCGCGATCCTCTCGATCACGATGCTCGTCTGGAGCGGGCTCATCATCTACGTGAACGCCTACATCCTCGACGACCTCTGCCCCTACCCGGCGACCCTCACCATGTTCCAGCAGGCCTTCGGGTTCGCGTGCGCCTACGCCTGCATCTACGGCTTCCGCGCGTGCGAGCCCGTGGACATGGCGCCGCAGGTCTGGGCCAAGTACATGATCCCCATGGGCGCCTGCTTTGCGATTTATCTCTGGGGCGGGAACAAGGCCTACCTCTACATCTCGCCGGGCTTCATGCAGATGCTCAAGCCCATCGCGGGGCCCATCACGTTCGGCGTGTCGTGCGCGTACGACCCGGCGGAGTACACGCACTGGAAGCTCGTGAACCTCGTGGTCATCTTCGGGGGCATCGCCGTCACGGCGGCGTCGGAGGACGCCGGCGGCAGCGACAACGTCATCCTCGGGAGCGCGCTGCTCATCGCCGCGTACGTGTGCATGGGCGTCTACAACGTCGCGCTGCAGGTCGTGCAGCGCGCGGGCTTCGAGATCAAGCTCAACCCGCTGACGACGCTGCTCTACGTCGGGCCCGTGTCGACCTTCTTCCTCATCGTCGTCGCGGCGTCGACGGAGTGGGACGCCGACTTCGACTGCTTCGCGGAGGGGAAGCTGACGTGGTGGCTCTTGCTGTGCGACTGCGTCGTCGCGTTCGGCTTCAACTACGGCATGCTCCAGTTCATCGGCAAGCTCAGCGCCGTGTCCTACACGATCTTCGGCCTCTTCAAGGACATCGCCCTCGTCGTCGCGGCCTTTTTATTCTTCGAGGAGCACATCTCCCTCATCCTCATCGAGGGCTGGGCCGTGACGACCGCAGGCGTCGTCGTCTGGCAGCACCGGAAGCTGTGCCCGCCATCGTAATAAAGTTACTTGAGGAACCGACCCACGTCCAGGTCGAAGAACTGGTGAAAGTTGCGGTCGCCGTGGACGTGGTGGGCGTCGTGGGCCCGCGCGCCGCCGATCACCGCGGGGAACGCGCGGTGGCCCATCCAGGGCAGGTCGAAGCCGCTGTGCGCCTCCGCGAGCAGGAACGTCACGACCAGGTTGTGGAGCACGCGGCTCAGGGGGTGCTTCGGCGCGAAGACGAGGCCCGACGCGAGTAGCAGCGGCGTCGCCAGGCGCTGCACGGCGACGTTGCACGCGACCTGGAGGAAGCCGTCCGCGTAGGAATGCTGCACCGTCTCGAGCGGCACGAGCGCGCGGCCGGTTCGTTCCGCCGGCCGCGCGATGTGATGAGTACGGTGGACGTTCCGCCACGCCCGCGGCGCGCGGCAGTGGTGCATGGACGCGTGGATGGGCGCGAAGAGCAGGTCGTACGCGACGACGCCGCCCGCGAGCTCGCCCAACAGCCGCAGCGCCGACGGCGGCGCGACGGGGAGCGGCGCCTTCCGGACGACGCAGTGGAAGGCCTTGATGGAGCCGACGTAGGCGAACAGGGGCAGCCAAGCGCCGAAGAGGCGCCTCCAGCCGAGCTCGCCCGCCCACTCGAAGGGCGCGACGGGCGGCTTTTTGTCGAATCGGAACTGCGCCGCGCGCGTTTCATCCCGGAAAAACAGCTTGTGCGCCGACGACCAGAAGACGATGGCGAAGACGAAGCCGAAGGTCGCCGTCCAGGCCTCGAACATGGGCGCGTGGGCCCAGGGCCGCGCGCGGAGCCAGGACCACGCGCCGGCGACGACGGCGTCGGCCGACCGCGGCGCGGCGAGCACGGCGCCGGCGAGCGCGACGGGAAACGCGCGCGACGCGAAGCGCTGCGCGTGCGCGCCGCGGGACCAGTGCGCCGGGATGGCGTAGCGGTCGTCGTCGTCGAGCGGCGGCGCGGCAGGCGGTAACGGCGGTTGGCTCGTCGTGCGTGTCGCGACCGGCGCGTCGAGGACCGCCGTCGCCTTCCTCGTGATGAGACTCATTGGCGCTCTAAGCGCCGCGGCTTCGAGGAGTGTGAGGGCCAGAACCAGCAGCATGTTGTAGTAGCCACGCGACGACGCGGAAGGCGGCGGCACGAGAATCTCGAGTTCACCGGCAGCTTTGGCGTCGGCGATGCATTGAACAGGACCTTGTCGCCGAGAACGATGGCTGCCCCGACTCGCGCCATGCTCCTGGCCGTGCTCCCCGTCGCCCTCGCCGCGAGCCCGCCGGCGATCTACCCGCTGCCGTCCTTCGGCAGCGAGGTGCGCGACGTGAACATCGTGGAGTTGCTCGCGTCCGTCGCGTCCGGCGACGCCCGGGCCGCCGCCGACGCGCGCTGGCTCGCGGACACGCTCCACGAGGAGCGCATCCTCGTCTTCCGCGACCAGGGGTCGATCCCCTGGGAGGCCCAGGTCGCCTTCAGCGCGTTCTTCGCGACGGGCGAGCTCTTCAACGAGACGATGCACGCGAACCGCGCGCCGCACCCGGCGAACCCCGACGACCGCGTCGCGACGTTCTCCAACGACGCGGCCCACGGCGCCGTGGGCGTCGGCGTCGAGGGCTGGCACGTCGACGGCAACGTCGTGCCCGTGCCCCACGCCGTGACCCTCATCCACAGCCTCAGCGCCGTCGACGGCGGCGACACGTTCTTCGTCCCGCTCCGCGAGGTCACCCAGAAGCTGCGCGACGACGGCCCGTCGTCGACAACCTCGCGACGGCGCACGTCGCCGCGGACGGCACGCAGGTCTCCGACCGCGGATTGCGCGTCATGCGGCGGACGACGGTCAAGGGCGAGAACACGCCGCGGAAGCGGCCCTTCCTCCACGGCCTGCCCCACGAGTGCGTCGCCGAGGGCGGCGGCCACTACTGCCTCTTCTCCCTCCGCCACGACGCGCCGCGACCCTCATCGGGCCGGTTCCTGTCGCGGTCCGCCGCGGACCGCGCGTGCAAGGTGCTCTCGCCGGACGCGGCCCTCGCGCAGCCGACGAGTCTCGCGCGCAACGGGGCCGCGGGCCGCGTCGTCAGCTCCGTCGCCGAGCCCCACTGGCTCGGCGCCGACGACGCGCCGAACGGCGCGATCGCCTGGCGCGGCGCCGCGGCGCCGCCGTCTGCCGCGGGCTTCTCCCCGGACGACCCCTGGCCCTGGCACGGCCCCAGCGGCCAGCCCAACGACTGCGACGGGCCCGACGACCCGGAGACCTGCGTCTTCATGGGGCCGTCGGCGAAGTGGTTCGATTTCGCGTGCCAGCCCAAAGTCGCGGACGAGGCCAAGGGCACGACGCCGGGCCCCGAGATCACGTGGGAGGACGGCCGACGCCGCGAGTACGACATCTTCCCGCTCTGCGGCCTCGAGATCCCCGGCGACGAGGCCAACATGATCGGCCTCCGCACGTTCTAGGGAGCGCGCCGCGCGCGAAGAGCGCGCGACCTAAGAAGGACCATGCCTGCTACCATAGCCTGAGCACGCCTCGGCTCTGCCGGCTCCATACTCTCCTCGCCAGCTTAGTATCTCGCCACGTACTCCGCCGAGTATCCCTCTACCTCTCCCACGCACCGCAGAAACTCCTCTACGCCGTCATGCCCCGCCCCGTCGCCACCGACTTGCAGTACGAAATCATTCTTCCCGATGTCCTCCCACTGGCGCCTGTCGGGTTGCGACCCCGAGCCAGCGTAAGGCACAAGCTCACCGTTCGGACTCGTGTAGTCAAGGCGCCGACCTGCCGGGCTTTCTTCCGCCGTCTTCCCTTGACATTTCAGTGGCTCGCCGGTCTCGGGGTCGTTTCCCAAATTCATTTCGGGGCGGACCTTGTTCAGCAGGAGCAGCACGAAGAAGGCTGCAGGCGGGGCAGCAGCGGTATCCCCATCACCTGCTCTGGCTGGGTCCCCTCGCACTCCCGGGACTCGCACCACGAGCCCAGAGTCGTGCCCACGCCACCACGAGAAGTCCGTCGTGCGCAGATAGACGGCACTCTCCGGGAAGATGGAGCGCGCCAGCTGGGCCAGCTGCTCAAAGCTCCACTTGTGCGTGTCAGCCTTGTGCTTGCTCGGGAACGAGGCAACGCGCACCAGCGCTGTGGCCCGCAGCTCATCGCGGACCTCGCGCGGCCATTGCTTCTCAGCGATTGGCGCAGCCGGCGCCGCCCCTGCTGCTGCGACATCGGCGGCCATCAATCGATCGCGCCGTCGGCTCTGGCTGGCCTCGAACTAGACTCTCCAACGACCGACCGCGCAACGCCGGCGCCGCAGACGAAACCCCCAAGTGTGCGGCGGAGAACGCGGGCAGCCGAACTGGATCACCGGCGCACTCGGCCCAGGCCGCCGCGGTGTGCACGCTTTGGGCAGCGCAAAGCCCGCTCTCCCAGCTCCAGCCCGATTCGGCTTCAACTAAAAGTACATTGCACGCCATGTTAAACGCCGCTTCAGCTTCAACCTCAATCTTACGAGGCGCCTAGTCCTCGTCGGAGCCCGTCTCGTCGTCGGTGAACTCGCCGTCCATCTCCTCCGTGAGGCGGACCTGCTCCTCGCGCGCCGCGTCCGTCACGGCGCGCTGGTTCGCGCCGCGCTCCTCGGCCTCGCGGGCCTCGAAGTGGTCGTCCTCGGCGCGGCGCTCGGCGTCGACGATGGCGTCGATGACGACGCGCCGCGCCTGGAAGGGGCTGAGCACGACGGAGAGCACGAGCGCGTCGTTCACGAAGCCCGGGGGTAGGTCCGACGCCGCGCGGACCGCGTCGACGAGCTCGTCGACGAGCCGCGGCGCGTCGCGGCCGCTCCGGTGGTCGTGGCCGCAGCAGGGCGCGACGCGGCCCGCGATGGCCGCGAGGGACTGGCCGACGAGCGCGTCGACGATCATGGCCTCGAGCTGCTCTTCCGACGCGCCGTGCGCGCAGACGGTCGCGAAGCAGAAGCCGACGACCTGCGCCGCGTCGAGCGCGCTGCCCAGCACGAAGGACTTCGTGAAAAAGGCGCCGGGCAGGTTTGTGATCGTCGAGAGCCGGTCGCGCGCGGCGTCGAGCTCGTCCTCGCCGCAGACGAAGGCGCCGCAGCCCTTGGACAGCAAATCACAAACATCGCCGAGGCTCGAGGCGTCGAGCCTCGCCGCGGCGACGAGCAGGTCGACGACGGCGAGGTGCGGCGGCGCCGACGGCGACGACGGCGACCGCGGACCGGTCGGCGACGCGGAGCCGAGCGTCGAGTCGTCGTCGAGGCTCGGCACGGCGTTGGGCGTCGCGACGACGGACCGGCGCCGCTGCTCCGTCGCCGCGGCCTCCGTCGCGCGGCGCTGGTTCGACCGGCGCTCCTCCTCCTCCCGGTTCCGGTCCCGCGCCTCCTCCGCCAGGACCTCCTCCACCAAAAACGACTCGACGACGCTCGAGAAGCCGCCGGACGGGAGCTGGGCGTGGGGGGGGCGGTCCAGTTCGACCTGCTCGCTGCGCGCCGCGCGGCGCACGGCCGCGCCGAGCTCCGCCTCCACGCGCGACGCGTCGCCGCCCGCGACGGCCGGCGCGAGGAGCGCCGCGACGCGCGCGACGGTCTCGAACTCGAGGCCCGACGCCGCCAGCCGCAGGACGTCGTCGTCGACGACGCCCAAATCCGCGCAGACGCCGTAGGTCGCCCCGGCGACGTGGTCGAAGCCCAGCACCGTCGACGGCGCCCACCCGTCGGAGAAGTAGCCCGCCGGCAGGCCCGTGGCCCGCGCGAAGCGCTCGATGAGCGCCTCGAGGGCCAGGGGCCCGTCGTCGTTGACGCCGCCGTTCAGCGGCGCGAGCGCGTCCCGGTAGGCCGACAGCGGCAGGTCCCCGAGCGACGCCGCCGCCGCCAAAAGCGCGACGGCGCGCGGCGTGAGCGCGCCCGGCGCGAGCGGCGACGTCGGCGAGTTCGGGGGCGACGGCGGCGGCGACGGCGGCGACGCCGGCGCGGCGCCGACGGGCGGCGGCGGCCGCGCCGGCGGCTTCGCGGCCACGCGACCGGAGTCGGCCCAGCTCACGCGGCGCCGCTCCGCCGACGTCGGCGGGCTCCGGTCCGCGGGAGACGGCGGCGGCGTCGCCGACGCCACGGCGCCCGCGCCGTCGATGCGCGCCGTCTCGCTCGCGCGCGTCCCGTCGGACGTCGTGAGCGGGGGGTAGGGCGCGTCGTCGTAGTCCGCGGGCGTGAAACTGTAGTCCTTGCCGTCCTCGACTTTGTCCTGCGAGCACATGGACCCGCAGGTGAAGCTCTGGAACCAGGCCTCGAGGGCGCTCAGAGCGCCGAGCTCGCCGCTCATGGTCCGCCGCGGAGCGACTGTTGTTGGCGCCGGCAAGCGGGGCTGCCGCGATTATATGTCGGGGGGCAGCACCACGGCATTTTGAGGGGATCGTCGGCGATGTCGACTTGCCTCGCATTGAAGCAGGAGATCTCGCAGTCGGGCCTGTACACGCAGTTCGCCGCCCGCAGCCGATCGCATCGCACCCATGGCCGCGAGACATATGCGACGATTGCTGGTCGCCGTTGCGGCCGTCGCCGTCGCCGGCCTGCGACCGAGCACGGCCCGCGCCCCGGGCCGGTCGGCGTCGCGCGCGTCCGTCGCCGTCGCCGACGCGACGAACGTCGACGTCGCGTCCGAGCCGGCCATCTACCTGAGCAGCGCGGAGCGCGCGCGGACGACGGCGGAGCTCGGCATCGCCACGGGCGCCGCGCTGTCGACGCTCTGCGCCGCCGGCTCGGCCACGGAGGGCGCGCCGTTCACGACGCACGTCGACTACGTCTTGGACGCGTCCGGCGCGCCCGTGCTCCTGCTGGACACGGCGCGCGCGGAGCACTCCAAGAACCTGCTCGGCGCCGGCGGGTCCGCGCGGTGCAGCGCCCTCCTCGCCGCGCGCGCGGCGGGCACGCCGCCGGCCGCGGCCGCGCGCGTGACCGTCGTCGGCGAAGTCGAGGCCGTCGCGGCGGACGCGGAGGACCGCGTCGTCCTCGAGGCGCTGTTTGGGGTGAACCACGCCTACGCCGACGACGTGCTGAGCACGGCCGAGTTCGACCTCTACCGCCTCGTGCCCGAGAGCGTCTACTTCGTCGGCGGCTTCGGGGTCGCCGCGACGTGGGTGCCCGTCGACGACTACGGCGACGCGCGCGCGGACGCCGTCGCCAAGGAGGCGCGGGACCTCTGCGTCGCGCTCAACGACGACAAGCGGTCCGACGACCGCGCCATGGCCGCCGCGCAGCTCCTCGACGTCGCCGACGCCGCGAAGGTGTCGGTCATGGCCGTCGACCGCCTCGGCCTCGACCTCCGCGTGAAGCGCGCGGGCGGGACGACGGAGGAGTACCGCCTCGCCTACCGCGCGGCGGCCCGCTCCGTCGAGGACGCCAAGTCCGAGATCAACAAGCTCCTCCAGGAGGCCTGGGAGCTCGACCAGGGCGTCGTCTTCGACGGCGCCTACGACGACAAGCCGAAGGTCGTCCAGCGCGCCGTCTCCTCCCTCAAGTAGAAAGGCGCCCGCCGCCTTTTAATGCCCGTGAATAGACATGGAATATACAGGAGTGTAGCGGCGCGACGCGGCGCGGAGGAGCCCGGGCCTTCCTACGCGACGACGCAGCAGCCGCCCCGGTCGTCGATGACCTTCACGAGCTCCATGGTGAAAATGAGTGTCGCCTTGGGCGGGATGCCGCGGTCGGGCATGCCTTTGGCGCCGTAGGCGAGGTTGTACGGCACGAAGAGCTCGTACTTGTCGCCGGCGACCTGCGGGCGCGGCGGTCGCGGCGCGAAAGCGCGCGCGATGGTGGGGGGGTGGGGCTTCGACGGGGCGGTCTCAGATTTGAAGCTAGAATATGTTGTTCGTCACGTGTTCTCGGAAGAGGTGAAATAGGTGTATCGTCACGGCACCGCGGGGTCGGCGGTTTCGCGGACGCCGGCGGTCGCCATCAGCGTCATCGCCTCGGTCCAGCCCTTGATGACCTGGTCGGGCCGGAACGTCGACGGCCGCCCCTTCTCGTAGGAGGAGTCGAACTGCGTGCCGTCGAGGAGCGCGCCGACGTAATGGCACGCGCACTTCGTGTCGAGGCCGGGGCGCACCAAGCCGTCGCCCTCTTTGATGACGCGGTACTGGAGCCCCGACGAGCACGCGATGACGTCCTTTTTTTTGCGGTTCTCCGCCAGGAATCTCGTGCCCGCCTCGGGGCCGTTCGGGTCCTCCTCGTCGGCGCGCATGGCTCGCGGCGATCGCCGATCTCGCGCGAGGCGCGATGTCGCGTGGTTGGGTGACAGCCGAGGACGACGCTCGGGTACGTGTTTGCGCGGTGTGCGACGGCTCGCGGCGCGACGAGGCGTCTAGCGATCGCCGATCAGCGCGGTAAGCGCGGCGCGTCTGCCGCAAGGCCGCAAGCCCGAGCACCGAGCTCACGAGCCTCACGTGCGAGCGCCACATCAGACGCCGGCGCCGTCGTGCAGTGCATGCGCAGCGCGTCCTCGCAGCCGTCCTCGCAGCCATACAGTGCATGCGCAGCGCGTCCTCGCAGCCGTACTCGCCGGCGCAGCGCCCGCTCGTGGTGCTCGCAGCGGTCGCAGCCATCGCGCTCGCCGACGCGGCGACCATGCAGTGCGCCCGCCCGCTGCGCGTCGCCGTCATCGGCGGCGGCGTCTCCGGCTGCACGCTCGCCCACGCACTCAAGGAGGAGGTCGCCGCGGGCCGCGTCGCCACGACGCTCTTCGAGATGGGCCGCGGCGGCGGCGGCCGGTCGGCGACGCGGAAGACGCGCGACGACGGCCGCGTCGCCATCAGCCACGGCGCGCCGAGCTTCAAGGTCACGACGCACAAATTCCGCGCGCTGCTCGACGGCCTGCCCGCCGGCACGACGGTGCCGCTCCCGAAGCCCGTGGGCGCGCTCGTCGGCGACGCCTTCGAGCCCGACGGCGACGACCGCCGCGCGGGCGCCGGCGGCGCGGCCGCGCTCTGCGACGCGCTCCTGCGCGACTCCGGCGCGGACCCGAGGTTTCGATCCATGGTCCGGGGCATCGAGCGCACCGGCGACGGCGCCTGGGCCCTGCGCGGGACGGACGGCGCCGAGCTCGGGCGCTTCGATTGGCTCGCGGTGTCCGGGAGCGGCGTCGCGCACGACCGCTGGACGGCGACGTTCGGCGGCGAGCCGCCTCTGAAGGCCGCCGCGGCCTCCCTCGGCGACGCGGCGCTCGACGCGGCCATCGCCGCCGTGAACGGGGTCGCGTCGAAACCCGTCATGGCGGTGATGTTGGCGTTCGACGGCGCGGCGGCCAAGTCGTGGGCCGCGCTGCCCTGGAGCAAGGCCGCGGTCGACGGCGACGCCGTGCTCTCGCGCGTCGTCGTCGAGCGCGTCTCCGACGACGTGACGAACGTCGTCCTCCACTCGACGCACGCCTTCGCGGAAAAGAACAGGGACGTCTATGGCGCGACGTCCACCGCCGCTCGCATCGGTGGCGCGTTGAGCGACGCGTCGCGCGAGGAGGCGCTCGTCGCCGCGCTGCTTTCCAGCGCCGAGGCGCGCCTCGCGGCCTTCGACGCCGCGCTCGCGGGCCCGTTCTACGGGCCCCACCTCCACCGCTGGGGCAGCGCGTTCCCGGCCGGCGTCCTCGTGCCGCCGGACGCGGCCGTCGTGCCGTCCGCGCGCGTCGTCTTCCTGGGCGACTACGTCGACACGGGCCGCGCGGGCACGCTCGAGGGCGCCGCGCTCTCGGGCCTCGCCGCGGCGGAGGCGCTCGTCGACGCCGCGGCCGCCGCGTAGAGCGCTGTTTCCCCGCGAGACTAACATAGAAAACTAGCCGCGCGCGACATGGCGACGCAGCTTAAATCCGAGCATCTCGCTGCGGCAAGGCCCAGGGTCAAGGTGCACTGCTCGCCTGCCACTGCAGCTTCGGCTGGGTGGGGAGCGGCATCTAAGACCTCGGCCGGCCGTCTCAGAGCCGAGGCGCTCTCGGCGCCGGCGCGTCGCGTTCTCGCGCGCAGAGGCGTCTCCGGCGGCGCTGCTGCGCACGGCCCTCGTGCATATGTGTGGCTACGCAGCGAAATAGCTCGCGACGTCCGGAACGTCGGCGGCGTCCCGTTCGTTGGTGTTTTCGGTCGGCGGCGCGCAGGGCCCCGAAAGGTGGTCGAGGACCGCTGCGGCGCTGCCACCAAAAGCGCCGAGCTCAGGGATCGCGCCGAGGCACCCCACGAACCCGGCGAACCGCCAAAGCCACTCAATTTTTTCGATCTCGCCCGCGAATGCGACGCCGAGGGTCTGCGCCGAAACGCCGACACGCGCTCGAACGCTGAAAAAACGTCGACTGACCCTCGAGACGCGCGGTCACGTGTTCGGCGCGACGATGGGACTCCCATGGGCCGCGCTCGTTGCCTCTACGGCACCCACGCTGCCCGAAGTTGCGCAAAATACGTGATCAAAGGGCTATTTGGTGCAAATCGACCCCTTTGCACCGATTTCTGGACCCGTGCGACCGCTTTCGACGGCGGAACTTTGCTCGCGCTTATTGCCGCAACATATCCGGAGCGTGTCGGAAGAAGAACGGCTGGAATCCATGCCATAGAGGCTGTGAGAGCTCCAAAAAGGCGGCTCTGAGGCTCTCTAGTGCTGCGAGAGCACCAAATCGGCTGATTCGGCCTCATCCGGCCGCCAGTCGTTCTCAGCGATACTGGCGCCCCCCGGGGCCGCCGGTACGTCTAATTGTAGCCTATACCCGAACGCTGCGCGTGGTGGCTCGCGCGCGCGTCGGGTGATGGCGAGTCGCTCGTAGGAGTCCGTCGAAGACGGGTCCAGCTGCAAGACGCGGGAGGCGTGAATGCGACCGCTGTCGGGCCCGAGAGAGCAAACCAAGTGCATGGACGCCGCTCCCATATGCGCTCGACGGACGCCGCCACCGAAAGCCACGCGATTTCGTCGAACGCACTCCAGCGCACCGCGCCGAGCACTTCCGCGTTTACGGCCGACGAGCCGCTCGCGACCAAAACATCGTGCGCCGAGCAATTCGACGCGCGCAAAGGCCCTGGACCGCCGCGCGCATATACTACGCGGGCCCCCGCAGCTCGTGGTCGAACGGGAACGCGATCGCGGGCCGCAAGAACCGATGCGATCACCGATCGACGCTTTGGAGCCGAAAAGTCGACCGCGCGCGTCGCGTTCACCGGCTCCACGAGCGCCCAAAAGCTGTCAGAGGACGTCTAAGGTTGTCCGCCGGTGGCGACAACAGCGGCCGCCCCGTAGACCACGAATGCGCGGCGCACGACGCCGTCCAAGGCGGGTTTTGCTCTCTGAGAGCCCAAGTCTTGTTTGCCGGGGCGAAGCTGCAGTGCTGCGAGCGCAGCTCAGCTCGGTGCCGGCCGTCCACAGGCGAAGCTCTTCGAGCTGGGCCGCAGAGACGCGCCGCCTGCGGGTCGCGCCCTCGACAACCGCGCCGCCTCGACCTCTTCGCGTGCGTACTGTCGACGCGCGTCGCCGGCGTCCCAAACCCGGGGGAAAATATCAACAGCGGGCTCTGGCAGAGGTGGCGCCAAAGAGGACCGCGGTCGGCGCCGCGAGGCGCCGGCCGCGGCCTCCATAGGACGTTCTCCCGTATGAGCGCGCGAGAGCGAGCGTTTCGGGAAATTTAGGAGGGGCGCGCGTCCGCTTCCGACGGCTTGTTGCGCGTCTCTATGATTCTCTCGACCCATCCGCAGGCGCCGATGGAGCGGTCGATGGAGATGGGCACGCGCACGCCCGCCGGCGAGGGGGACCGCGACGGCCTGACCTACCCCAACGGCCGCGCGCCGAAGCGCGAGAAGCGGCGGCTACCGCCGCGGACGTGCTGCCTGGCCGTCGTCCTCACGCTCATCGGTTCGCTGCTCCTCGTCGTGTCGCTCGTCGCGCTCGCGACGCAGCACGACGCCATGTACCCGCTCTTCTTCCTGACCTTCATCACGCTGCTGCCGGGGTCCTACGCGTCCTGGCACCTCGTCGGCATCTACCAGCGATGGCCCGGCTACGACAACATGGTCGTCTTCAGCGACGACCTCGAGCTCGTATGAGCCGCCCTTTTGTACTAAGTTTTCCGCCTGTTACAGATGCGACATGAGCTCGTTCACGGCGCGGATGCGCTCCTGGCGCTGCTCCGCGGAGGTCGGCCGGTCCCCGCGCGCGTCGTTCGTGAGGCTCGTCTCGCCCGCGACGCCCGTGCGCCACGCGTCCTCGTCCCGGGGCTCGAGCATCGCCAGGGGCGCGCGGCACGGGCCCGACCGCGCGAGGACGCGCTGCAGCTCCCGCCAGTCGTCCTCCTCGAGGTTTTTGTCGATCTCGCTCCGGGGCCGCGCGGCGAGCCGCCGCGGCGTGTCGTCGTAGCGCCAGCGGCCGTCGATATGCGCCAATTGGGGGAGTTCTGGATCGGCGCCGGCGTCCAACAAGATCGCGGCGAGGGACGGCTGGCCCTCGTAGACGCACAGGTGCAGCGGCCGCTGGCCGCAGTGGTCGAGCAGATTCGGGTCGGCCCCCATGCGAAGCAGCGCGCGGACGAGCGCCTCGCCCGTCTTCCGGCCCCCGTTGTACGCGCGCAGGATCGCCTCGCCGAGCGGCGACGTGGTAGGACCGCCGCCGAGGTAGAGGCCGTTCGCGTCGTAGCCGCCGTGGACGATCGCCGCCGCGATCTTCGGCAACGTCTCCTCGATTTCGTCCTGGCAGCAGTGCTTGATGAGTCCGATGAATTCCTGCTTCTCTTGGCCGCCGCGCCATTTGTCAATGAAGACCGCGCCCGGGCGGCACGAGCCGTCGGCCCGGAGAGGCCTCGCGCGCGGCTCCGCGAGCGCCGGCAGCGTCTTCGGCCCGGGGACGAGGAGCCACGCCGGCGCGTCCCGCTGCGTGTACGCTTCGGCGGGCGCCGGCGCCTCGGCGAGCCGCGGCGTGACGACCGGGGCTGCCGCCGCCGGAGCGGCGGCTGCCCCGAGCCGCTCCTCGAGGCGCGCGACGGCGGCGCGGTGCGCCGCGAGCTGCCGCTCGAGCTCGTCGCGCGGCGTCGCGCTCATCGCGTTCTGTGAGCAGCAGCAGTCGCTAGCTCGAGCGCTCCGGTGCTAGCTCGAGCGCTCCGATGTCATGGCATCAATGCTCTCCATGCTCTCTGGGCAGCGTTGAGCGGGGCGCAGCGCGCCGCAACCGGCCGCGAACCCCAGACGCGTACAACAACGACCACCACGAAGCCACGGCTCGCCGCGACGTCATCCTCGAGCTTCTCGGGATGCCATTCTAGTACGAAGTAAACGCCGCGCGCGCGATCGACCGCCTACTTCGTGACTTTGAGCGGGTAGGAGTACTCGAGGTGCGTCTTGCCGTCGGAGTCGACGAACTTGTCCGTCGCCGTGTAGGAGCCGCGGTACATCATGCCCTTGGGCGCCTCCATCCAGTCGTTGCGCGGGAACTCGAAGACGTGGGGCTCGGCGCCCGGCGGGTATGAGCCGATCATGAGCTCGTCGCTCTGGGACATGCCCATCTTCTTCGTCTTGTTGCAGAACTTGAGGCCCGCGAGGATCTCGTGCTGGACGCGGAAGCTGAGCTTGAACTTGTACTCGGCGCCCTCCTTGATCGACACGCCCGTCTTCTTCAGCTTCTCCTTCCCCGCGAGCGTGTCGAGGTTGAAGACGAGGTCCGGCGTCGCGTCGTTGAAGGCTATGCGGAACTCGACGACGATGAGCTTCCGCGGGTCCGACGTGTCGCCGAGGTCGCCCTTGGCCGCCGCGCCCAGGAGCTGCTCCTTGTACTTCCGCAGCGACTCGTCCTCGGCGTCGGCGCTCATGAGCGCGCCCACGTCGTTGGTGCCGGCGGCGCTGTAGGCCGCCGCCGGCGCGGCGGGCGCGTCGGCCTCCACGTTGGCGGCCATGGCCGGCGGCGCGGGTGGCTGCGTGAGAGCTCGACTCGAAGCTTCGGCTGTCTGTGGCAATTTGCCAAAGTTAGGCCAAGCTTGCTGTATCCTTGCCGTCTAAGGAACTTGCCGAACCAAGTGCCGAACCGGACGCACGACGATAGGCGGGAACCTTCGCCCCCAGGGCGGACGCTTCCCTTGGTTACGACAGCACGAAGGTCCGCCCCTTCTGGCGGAAGCGCCGGTTCGCGTGCGCGGGCGGCAGCTGCGCGACCATGGCCTCGAAGTCCGCGTCGAAGACCAGCTTCGCGCGCTCGTAGAGCGCGACGTCGAGCTCGTTCAATTGCCGCAGCTTCGCCAGGGCCGCCGCCGAGTGGGCGGGCTTGTCGCCCGCGAGCTTCGGGTGGTGCTCGTTCTTGTAGGACGTGAAGCGGCGGAGCGCGTGCGGGAACGTCATCTTCAGCAGCAGCATGGCGTCCTGGAAGCGGTCGAGGACGCCGACGTAGGCGCACCGATCCAGGTTCTTCAGCGCCGCCGCGAGGAGCGCCGCGTCGCCCGCCGCCGAGGCCTCCCGGTCCGCGAACTCGCCCGTCGTCGCCAATCCGGCCAGGAAACGCGTCTGCCGGTTCCGCGACCCGCGCGCGCAGGCGTCGCAGGCGAGCCAGTCGTCGAGGGAGCTCTTGGACGAATCCGTGAAGTCGTAGTCCCAGGCCTTGCCGAAGGTGTGGGGCCCGAACTGCGCGACCAAGCCCCGCGTGACGTGGTCGTGCTCGCTGAGCGCCCGTTTGACGGGGTCCCGGAAGAAGGCGAGCCAGCGGATGCGGTTCCGCTCCGGGTTCGGCAGCCCCGCGAGGGCCCGCTCGTAGTCGTACCAGTTCGCGTGCGCGCGGACGAAGAGCTGGCACTTGCGCGCCTTCTTGTGGTCGCGGAACGCCTTCGTGAGGACGTCCTCGCACTTGTGGCCGCAGAAGGGGCCGCGGACGCACTTGGACGACGGCGACCAGAGGGACCCGTCCCAGGCGTCGACGAGCGTCATCCAGAGCGTCTGGCTGCCCGTCTTCTGCACGCGGAGGTAGACGACCCAGTCGCCGGCCTCGAGCGCCACGGGCGCCCACGGCGCGCGGCCCGGCGCCGACGACGCGGCGCTTGCCTTCGGGACCGCCGCCGGCGCCTTGGGCGGCGGCGCCGCCGCCGCTTTGGGCGCCGCGGCCGCGGGCGGCCGCGGCGGCGCCGCGGTCCCGAAGGTCTTCTCGCGGAGCTTCGCGTGCAGCTGGGCGATGGTGCGGTTCGACTCGACGACGTAGCGCTCGAGGGCTTGCACGTAGGCCGTCCGGTCCGCGACCGGCGGCGCGGGCGGCGGCGGCGGCGCGAAGAGCGGCGCCGACCGGTACAGCGCCGCCAAGGCCCAGACGACGCCGAGGCCGACCCAGGCCCGCGGGCTCAGGCCGAGGAGGCTCCGCTGCTGCCGCGCCTTGCCCGCCGCCGACGAGCACATGCTTGCGGCGGCCGCGGGCTGCCGGGCAGCGACGACGCGCGACGGCGCGGGCAGCCCGACGACGGCGTCGGCCGTCCTTGCCGGCAAGTGCCCGCGTGAAGCCGCGCTCGCTGCCGCCAAGGCCAAGCCCGCCGTCGCGCGCGAGGTCGCGGCCCTGCGCCGGCCCTGCTGCGCGCGCCAGAGACCGAGACCGGCGCCGCACGGCCGCGCCGCGACGCGTATCGCGCCACCATGAGCAGCGGCGAGCGCGTGAAGAAGTCGTCCAAGGTCAAGGACGCCGCGACGGGCGTCGAGGTGGCCATCCCCGCCCCGCCGAAGAAGCTGAGCTCCTGGACGACGTTCTTCCGGCTGCGGAACAACGACGTCGCGCGGGCGAACCCGCAGCTGGCCCAGAAGGGCGTCATGGAGCTGCTGGGCACCATGTGGAAGGACGTCGGACCTGCCGAGCGCGCCGACCTCGACGCGCGCGCGGAGCGCGAGTTCAAGCGGAAGCAGAAGGAGTGGGACGCGGGCCGGGACGAGCGCGAGTTCGAGCGCATGCAGGCCGCCAAGGCTTTGGGTTTAGCGCTGTCCACGTCCTGGGAGGATTTGGTGGACGCCGTCCGCCGGCGCAACGGCGGCGGCGCCGCCGCGCCGTCGCCGAAAAACGCCGCGGCCCGCGCGGCTCCCCCGGCGAAGAAGAAGGTCGTCGTCGCCGGCGCCGCCCCCGCGCCGGCGCCGACGGCGTCCACGGAGGGCCGCTCGCGGAGCTGGACGGAGTGCTGGATGGGCAACGCGCGGCGCAAGGCCGTGCTCAACGGCCTCGACGCGATCTTCGCCATGGCCACGGAGGAGAAGAACTTCGAGCACTTCGGCAACGACATGGTCCAGTGCTTCTTCGACGTCGCCACGGTGACGGGCGACCCCGTGCGGTCGCGCGCGCTCATGTACGTCGAGCAGCTGGCCCAACGATGGCGCCACGGCGTCGTGGCGCGCGGCTGGCGCCACTCCGCGACGCTCCGGCCGTCGCCCCAGAACATCCTGGAGACCGTCGTGGGCATCTACTGCATGGAGCGCGTCGGCGTGAGCTCGCACAAGCTCAAGGAGGACGTGAAGCGCGCCGTCGACTGCGCGGGCGAGTACGCGGCCCCCGACGGCGAGCCGCCGCTCCTGCCCTACGGCCCCGTGGACTACCTGGGCTGGGACCCGGCGCGGTGCCCCGGCGGCCCGCCCGACGACGTGCCCGAGGTGCTCTCCGGGGAGACCGCGTCCAAGTACCGGACGCTCTGCAACTCGCTGATCCACAGCTACTACGCGGAGCGCGCGTCCGTGGACATCGGGTGCGCCTACGCCGAGGTGCTCGCGCACCTGCGGACCCTGCGGCCCTACAGGGGGCCCGCGGACCTGCCCTGGGACGCCTACGTCGACCAGTGCTACCTCGTCACGCACGTCGTCTTCACGCTCAACAACTGGGGCGAGCTCGCGCTCGAGCCGGACCTGCTGCCCCACGAGCACGCCTTCATCAAGGAGCACATCGGCATCGCCATCCGCGAGCGCGACGTGCATCTGGTCGGCGAGTACGTCGAGTGCCTCCGCTGCTTCGGGGCGACGGACGCGGACGCGTCGGTGCAGCTCGGCATCACGTTCCTCCTCAACGCGCAGGACCAGGCGACGCACCGCTGGGACGTCGACATGGACGCCTACACGTCCTACCACGCGACCATGGTCGCGTCGCAGGCGCTGCTGGCGCACTCGTTCCGCGGCTACGGCCCGGGGCTGCTCGGCGCCGTCGACGTCCTCGACAAGTGGCGCGCGGCGGACTGCCCGGAGGACCTCCCCGTGGAGCACCCCGACGCCGCGCTGCTGCGCAAACTCGCGGGCGCGCCGCCGCCGTCGTCGGCGCCGCCGCCGCCCGTCGCGCCCGTCGACGTCGACGCCGCGCCCGCGGACGGCGCCGCCGCCGCGCGGCCGTCGCCCAAGGCCGCCGCGCGGCCGTCGCCGAAAGCCGCCGCGAAGCCGTCGCCCAAGGCGGCGGCGCCGGCGAAGAAGCGGCCCCTCGAGGACGCCGCCGCCGCCGCGCCGGAGAAGAAGAAGAAGGCCGCGGCGCCGAAGCCGCGCGCGCCGTCGCCCGCGCCGCCCGCGAAGGGCGGCCCGCCGCCGCCGACGCAGCTCCTCTCGCCGCCGCCCAAGGCGCCGTCGACGCCCAAGGCGCCGCCCATGCCCGCGGGCGACGTCGAGGGCATCAACGGCGAGCTCGCGGCCGCCGTCGGCGCCCAGGACTACGGCGCCGCGATCCGCCTCGTGAAGCGGCTCAACGACTCCCACATCACCGTCGGCGTCATGAAGTCGACGAGCATCGGCAAGACCGTCGCCGAGCTCAAGAAGGCGCCGGACAAGAAGCTCGCCATGGCCGCCAAGGCCCTCGTCGCGAGCTGGAAGCAGGCCGTCCGGGACGCGGAGAAGTGAAGTAACGCCGTCCCTCCAGAGCCGCAAAATGTTACAGGGGGAACGCGTCGAGGAGGCCCGCGAGCTGGGCGTCGGGGCTGAGCTTCACCTCGAGGATCTCCACGGGCGCGAGCGCGTCGGACCGGTCGACGTGCGCGCTCGCCACGTCGAAGCCGCGGGACTTCGCGGCGGCCGCGAAGCGGTAGAGGCTCGATTCGCGGTCGAGCACGGACTGGAGCCGCCGGTGCTGGTGCGCGAGCAGCGCCGTCGCGCCGCCGGCCAGCAACTCCTCGAGCGCGTCGAGGAGGGGTTCGTGCGCGTCGGAGTCGTACGTGACGTCGCTGCCCAGGACGACGTCGACGCAGCCCGCCGCGGGCTCGAAGAAGTCGCCCCACCAGTACTCGTTCACCGCGACGTCGCAGGTGCGCCGCCGGTTCACCAAAGCGTTGCGCCGCGCGAGCTCGACGTTCGCTCCGTCGGTCATCTCGACGTGCGCCGCGCCGGAGGCCGCCGCGAAGATGCCGACGGCGCCCGTGCCGCAGCCCAGCTCCAGCACGTTCTTGCCCGCGACGGCGGCGTGGCGCTCGACGTAGGCGCAGAGGCTGCCCGCCGCGGGCCAGACGCGGTCGCCGACGCGCGTGCCCGGCACGGCCAGCTGCAGGTGGCCGCCGCCGGCCAGCTCCGGGACGATGCTGCTCGTCGCGAAGGGCGGCGCCGTGCGCGCGAAGCCGCCGAGGGCCGTTGCAGACATGGGAAGGAGTACAAGCGCGAGCATCATGATTTTGTCTGCGCGTGATGCCGAGTCGTGCGCGGCGGTGTGTGTGTGAGCTCGGGTAATGGGACGAGCGGATCGGGAGGCGAAGCGTCGCTCTTTGGTGGTCGGAGCACTCCGTCGAGCGGTGGGCACGCGTGACGAGGAAGGACACGGGTGAGGGCCTCAAGCTCTGATGCCGCCAGCTCAGGTCCGCCTCACTGCACTATCGCGGGTGCACTGCAACATTGAAGCAAGGCAAGCCCGAATTCCAAAACTCTCGGCGCGATGACGCTCAAAGTGTAAAGCCTGCGGGCAGCGCACGACGAGAACACTCCCGGCCATGGGGCAGCCCGACCGCCACGCCGGCGACCCGAAGGCGCCCTTCGCCCAGATGATGATGGTGGCCCTCATGATGTCCATGGGCGTGGGCAACCTCGCCCTGCCCCAGGGCGTGGCGACGGCGGGGCTCGGCGCCTTCTTCCCCATGTTCGTCGCCGTGTCGGGCGCCATGATGTGGTCCATGATGGCCATGCTGCGGGCCAAGGGCGCCATCGAGGAGCGGGGCATCCGCGTTTTTACTTATCAGGACCTGGGCTACGACCTGCTCGGCGGCACGCTGGGCAAGCGCCTCGTCGACGTCATGGTCATCGGCTACCAGTTCGGCGTGTGCTGCGCCTACTTTAGCTTCGTGACGGCGACCCTCCGGGAGCTCATGCCCGGCGGGCTGAGCAGGGTGCAGTGGACCGTGCTGCTCGCGCCGCTCGTCGCGGTGCCGTGCAACCTGCGCCACTTCCGGGACCTGGGCCAGCCCGCCAAGGTCGCGACGGCCTGCTACGTCGTCGCCTGGGGCACGGTCATGGTCTACGCCGGCGAGCGCCTGGCGACGCGCGGCGAGGCGCACAACGACTCGCTCGCGCCGAGCGACGACCGCTACTGGTACCTCGTCAAGTTCTTCGGCATGCTCTGCTACGCCTTCGAGGGCATCCCGGCGACGCTCTGCCAGATGGCGAACACGCTGAGCGAGCCCGAGCGCATCGGCGAGCTCGTCCTCACGTCCCTCGCGGGCATCTCGGCCGTGCTCGTGGTGACGGGCTGCGTCGGCGCGCTGGCCTTCGCGTCGCCCGACGACCCCGTCACGCTGAACCTCATCGACGAGTTCGGCAAGGGCGGCATCCCGGGGCTCGTCAACGGCCTCGTCGTCGTCGCGGTGCTCCTCAAGTACCCGCTCCAGTTCTCGCCGATGATCTCGCAGATCGAGCAGAACTGGGGCGAGGGGCCGGGCGCGCGCTTCCGCGACGCGCGGCCCGAGTCGTCGACGCTGCCGCCGGAGGCGCGCAAGCTCCTGGCGCAGGACCTCGAGACCGACCGCGGCGACTCGATCTTCGTCGGCGAGCACGACGGCGGCATCCGCGTCGTCTTCGCGCGGACCGCGCTCGTCGCGGCGACGGCGACCATCGCCGTCGTCGTGGGGGACCTGACGGACATCATCGCCTTCGTGGGCATCTGCTTCGGCCCGGGCCTGGCCTTCGTGCTCCCCTGCTTCTTCGACATCGTCTGCATCCACCGCCGCGCTTACCGCCGGTCCAAGCTCCAGCTCGCCGTCTCCGTGGCCATCGCCCTCTCGATGACCTTCCTCTCCATCCTCGGCTTCGCCCAGCAGATCGTCACGGCCATCACGGGCTAAGGGGATTTGTATTTGTTTTTTTTTGGGAAAGGGGCGCGGGGGCTCCGTCGCGTTAGCCGCGGCCGGTCGTCCAGCAGCCCGCCGGCGCGCCGCGGGGTCCGTCCCGCGAGCGGCGTCCTTGTCGTCGAAACGCGACGCGGTCCATCAAGGGACAGCAGCGGCGCGACGCTTGAAACCTGAAAATTCTGCCGTATCCGAAACTTGTGCCCGACTTCAACTTTTTTGGTACTTTACCCCTTGCAAGGTATAACTATTTCTGGCAGTCATTGCAGGGCTCCGCCAGGGACGCGGGCAGCGTGCATCGGGCCCTGGCCGGGGGCGGGGGCGGGCGCGGGCGGTGACCGGCCGGCGCGCGTCGCCCGGCGGCCGGGCGGCGTACGCCCTTTGAAAAGAAACGGCGCCCGCCATGGGCCTCGACGCCGCGCGCGCCGTCGTCGACGGCGTGCGACAGTTTCTTCCGCCCTGGTACTACTCGCAGCTCATCCTGCTGCCGCTCGCGCTCCTCGTCTACAAGTGCCGGCGCTACTACTTCCTCGCGCGGCGCGTGATCCAGATCTACTCCTTCGTCATCCCGCCCTTTGTGGACTTCCAGCTGCTCAAGCTCCGGAGGCGGCTCTGGGGCTGGGACAAGGAGGAGTTCCACGACGAGAAGTACAAGTTCCACGAGCGCTGCGCGAACCGCGTCTTCGTCGCCGTCTGCACGCTCGGCGGCTACTTCATCAAGAACGGCCAGCGCTTCGCGCTCATGAAGGGCCTGCTGCCGAAGCCGTACTACGCCGCGCTGCAGCCCCTCTTCGCGGAGGTGCCGGAGCGGTCCTTCACGGTCATGGCCAAGGTCTTCCACGACTCCACGGGCAAGTCCATCACGGACGTCTTCGAGCACATGGAGCCCAAGTGCCTCGGCGCCGCGTCGCTCGCGCAGACGTACAAGGGCACGCTGCGGCCCGAGTACCACGACGGCAAGAGCGACACGCGCGACGTCGTCGTCAAGATCCAGTACCCCGAGGTCGACATCCACTTCGCCCTAGACGTGCAGAACATCCTGCTGCTGACGCGGCGGTTCCTGCCCGACGCCTACGACTCGACGAAGGCCGAGGCGGACCAGCACATCCGCGAGCTCGATTTGCGGAACGAGGCGGACAACCTCAAGCGCGTCGGCGTGGCCATGGAGCGCGCGGGCCTCATGCCGAAGAAGCTCGTCGTGCCCCAGCCCGTCGAGGCGCTGACGACGCGCAAGACGTTGGTGATGGACCACCTCCAGGGCACGACGTTCGAGAAGGTGTCGCGGAACTGCCTCGAGCAGATGCGCAAGGCCAAGGGCCTGAAGGACGACAAGTCGCTCAAGGTCGAGGGCATCCAGGGCGCCGCGGAAGCCGGCGCCGCGGCGAGCGACGGCGGCCACGGCGACGCGTCGTCGAGCCACGCGGACAAGCACAACCCGCTCTTCCACGGGCCGTCGAAGCTCATCCGCACGATCGGCCGGAAGACGCACATCGTCGAGGGCAAGGTCGTCGAGTCCTTCACGAAGGTCCAGCAGCTCCTCATCGGGCTGACGAAGGCGCGGGAGATCATGGGCGACTACCAGCGCATCGTCCACACCATGGAGCTCGTCGCGCAGGCCGAGGGCTACCAGATCTTGCTCGACGGCTGCGTCAACGTGGACCCGCACCCGGGCAACATCATCTGCATGGACGACGGCCGCGTGGGCCTCATCGACTTCGGCCAGTGCGCCTTCCTCGGCAAGCAGGACCGGCGCAAGCTCGCCAAGATCTTCGTCGCGATCCGCGACAACGACCGCGACGCGACGATCGCGGGCATGAAGGACCTCGGCTTCGCCTGCAAGAACGAGGACGGGCCCATCATCGAGCGCTACGCGGTCTGGGCCTTCGACCGCATCGACATCACGCCGTTGCTCTACGACAACCGCGGCGGCCGCAAGGTCGGCTTCAACGTGCTCGGCTTCTTCGTGACGCACCCGCTCGTGTCGACGCCCGAGGCCTACGCGGCCGTGCGCCGCGTCGCCGAGATGCTGCTGAGCGCGACGCTCAAGTTCGGCGGCAAGGCCATGTGCCCCCTCTGCAGCGCCTGGAGCGACATGGCCGACGAGCTCCTGCTGCAGGAGGACGACGACGACGACGACACCGGCGGCGGCGGGCCGCTCAAGTTCTTCAACTTCTTCCGCAAGGTGCGCCGCAAGTCCTACCGCCACCACCTCGCCGTGAGCCTCGAGAACAAGCGCAAGAAGGCGCTGGGCCTCGACATCGTCGAGGGCGCCATCCGACACACGCTCTCCGCGAAGCAGATCGCGGACTGGAAGAAGCGCATCAAGCTCCTGGAGCTCAAGGAGAAGAAGGAGAAGGAGGCCAAGGACCCGAAGAAGAAGCACGGGTTCCGCTTCTCGCGCCACGGCCACGACGACGACGACGACGACAAGGTCACGACAGACGACGGCAAGGACATCGTCAAGCTCGAGATCGTCGACCCGGAGGCGCCGCCCGAGCCCGTCCGCGTCAACGGCGCCAAGCACGCCGCGAAGAAGGCCGACTGCTGCTGAGCCGTGCCCGGATCGCCGCGCCGGCCCCTTGTTGCTGACCCCCCCCCCCCGGCGGGGTCCCGCCCCCCGGCCCCACCCCCGCTCGCACGATCTCCGCCCGCTTCGCGACGGGCCGCCGCGGCGCCGCCGGCGAGCGCCCGGCGGGCGCCGCCCTCGCTAGAAGACTGTTCCCCGTTTCTTTTCTTTGCTGGGGGTGCTTGTTGTCGACTCGGCGACGCGGGGGAGCCGGGGAGGGGACGCGTCGCTGGCGGCGGCGCGTCGCTGGCGGCGGCGCGTCGCGGCTGGGCGCTTGGCGGCGGCTGCCGCTCGTGCTCCGAACTTTGCTCTCCCAAGCAGCTCCTCGTCCGCGAACACGACCCGGACCGCGCCAACGACGCGACGGACGCCGCGCAGCTCTTCGACGCGCACAACACACGACCCGCGACGCGCGACCGACGCCGCGCAGCCCCGCGAGCACTCCCGAAACCCGCCGCCGCCACAACCACCACCACAGCGACGATGCGCTGGCTCGACGCGTCCGCCTACCCGGCCTGGGCCGAGCTCCTCGTCGCCTGCGCGCCCTACGCGTCGCTCACGGGCGGGCGCTACCTCAAGGACGACTTCGACGACGCGCAGCCGTCGTCGCGGACCGGCGACGACTTCGACGCGGCCGTCGCGACGGCCGCGGGCGCCGTGGAGGCCTACGCGGCCCGCGTGGAGCCCGGCGCCGCGGCGCTCGAGCAAGACTACGAGCGCGCCTACGCCGAGACCGTCGACGTCGCGGCCGCGGCGACGATGGTCGCCGCGCTGCAGGCGCTCGACCGCTTCGAGGCCGGAGAGCGGGAGGGCCCCGGGGAGCAACTGACGCCCGAGTTCGTGGGCCGCGCGACCGACGCCCAGCTCGCCGCGAGCCTGCGCCGGGCGCGCGACGCGGACGAGCGGCCGAAGCGGAAGGCGCGGTTGCGCGCCGCGGGGTTTATCGCGGACTTCGGCGCCGCGCACGGCCTGCCGCGCGTGGCGACGCCGGCGAGCGACGCGCTGCTCGCGGCCTTCTACGCGCGCCTGGACCGCATCCCGGACTCGCGCGCCGCGTTCGCCGACGCGTTCGCGCCCTACAGGGAGCTCTTCACGAACACGCCCTGGGACGCCGAGGGCGCCCGGTCCTGGGCCAAGGCCCACCCGGACGAGGCGAGCATCCTCACCATCGGCACGGCGGCGCTGGCGCTGGGCGTCGGGCTGTTGAGCCTCGTGTCCGCGACGCGCCGCGCGGCGCCGCGCCGCGGGCGGCGCTAGACGGCCGCGGATCGGTAACTCGTTTTCGTGCATCTGACTCCTCTTTCGGGATGGCGGGCCGGCATCTCACTTCCCTAACATATCCCGCCGGCTGGCCGGATGGCTTCGGGCGCGAGAGGCGTCGCGAGGCACGGTGCGCGCCGCCGTCTCGACACTTCTCGACCCCCGGCGCGGCCGCCGGGGCTTTCTCGACGAGTCCACTTCTCGACGAGCGGGCCGAGGCACCACGCCGCGCCGCTGGCCTACCTCGGGACGAGCTCGAGGCACCACACCGCGCCGCTATGACGCTCAAGGCGCGCGTGGCTAAATTGTGCGAGGAACTCGGCGTGGAACCGCCTTCGGGCGGCGGCTTGGCGCCGACCGTGCGCCTGTGCGCTGCGGCGGCGGAGGTCCCGTATGAGACCATCGGCAAGACGGTCGAGGCGCTCGAGCTCGAGGTCTTCGGCGTGGCGGCGGTCGCGCCGGCGGCCGCCACGAGGCCCGCCGACAAGAAGAAGCGCAAGCGCGCGGTGAAGCGCGAGACCGCCGCGGGCTCCGACGACGACGAGCCGCTCGAGGCCAAGACGTTCACCGCCGAGGAGCTCGCGCAGCAGCGCTACGACAAGGCCAAGGCCGACGGCGATGTCGTCGAACTGTCCGACGACGACGGAGAAGCTCCGCCGAAGCGGCAGCGCGCGCGATCGGAGGAGTCGCCCCAGGCCGCCGCTCAAGCTCGCGCCGCGCGGCAGCAGGCCGAGGCTCAGGCTCTCCTCGCGCAGCAGCAGACCCAGGCTGCAGCTCACGCCGCGCAGCTGCAGGCCCAGCAGCAGGCTCTCGTCTCGCAGCAGCAGGCCCAGCAGCAGGCTCTCGTCTCGCAGGCGCGGGCCCAGGTTCAGGCGAGCCTCGCGCAGGCGCAGGCCCAGACTCAGGCGCACCTCGCGCAGGCGCAGGCCCAGGTTCAGGCGCGCCTCGCGCAGGCGCAGGCCCAGACTCAGGCGCACCTCGCGCAGGCGCAGGCCCAGACTCAGGCTCGCGCCCTGCAGCAGCAGCAGCGCCTCGCGCAGCTGCAGGCTCAGCAGCAAGCTCAGCAGCAGGCTCGCGCCCTGCGGCAGCAGCAGCGGCTCGCCCAGTTACAGCAGCAAAGGGCGATCCGGCAGCAGCAGCGCGCCATGCAGCAGCAGGCTCGGGCCATGCAGCGCGCCTTCGGGCCGTGGTAGGTCGAGGCCTCGCAAGGCCCGGCACAATGTCCATAGCCGCGCTCGCGCGGCGCATAAGCCCCCTTGTTTGAGCTACTCGAACCCGCGCGGCGACGGAGTCCTCCTGCAACCTCGGGAGGGGGCCCTGCACAACGGTGCGTGCCGCGGTCCCCGGCCACGTCCCCGGCCCGTGCCCGGGCCGTGCCCGGGGCCCCGTGCCGGGCCCGTGCCGGGCCTCCCCGGCCCGTGCCCGGCCCGTGCCCGGGGCCCGTGCCGAGTGCCGGGCCCGTGCCGGGCCGCGTGGCCCGTGCCCGGCCCGTGCCCGGGGGCCCGTGCCGAGTGCCGTGCCGCGTGCCGGGCCCGTGCCGGGCCGCGTGCCCGGAGCGCATTTACCGTGCCGGAACCCCCGTGCCCGCCGTCCCCGGCCCCCGTCCCGGGGCCGGACCGTCGTGCAGGGGCCCGTACCTCGGGCACGCGAATCTTTTTGGCGACCTGTGGATTCTTCCGTGGAAACAAGCACCGTGCCGACCGGCGCCTCGCGTCGCTTCGCGCCGCGCGCCCGCAACAACTCGTCGCAGGTCACACACCATCACCATGAAGACCTCCGCCGCTCGGACCATCCTCGCCATCTGCCTCGCCGCCTTCGCGCCGACTTCCGCCAAGGAAATCTCCCCGATGACCAAGGCCGAGTCCTACGTCGTCGCGAACGACCTCCTCGCGCGCCGCCGCGCCGGCATCGGGTGCTCCCCCGCTCCCCCGAACGTCGCGTGCGTCGAGAGGCCTCGTCGATATCGGCAGAAGACCCCGCGCGCCCGGACGACGCGCGCGACGAGAGATCTCGATATCCCGGGTCGCCGCGGCGACGAAGACGCGCTCGCACCGAAAGATCTCGACATCCGCGCGAATCGCGTAGGCCGCCATGACCGAGACGATGGCGTCGGGCTCGATGGCCAAGATGGCGAAGAAGTACTTCGCGCCGACGATCGAGTGGGACTGGTCCGGCCCGCAGACGGGCTCCGGGTCGCCCGACGACCTCGTGAAGGAGTTCGCGGCCACGTGGGGCTCCATGGTCTCCGTCTTCCACCCGAGCGACCCGTTCGTCGTCCTCGACTCCGTCGCGAAGAAGGTCGCCGTCGCCTTCAGCCTCGTCATCAACGTCGACGGCGCGGGCAAGGCCCCCGCGTGCCTCATCACCAACAACCCGATCCTCTTCACGTTCACCTTCGACGACAAGGGCAAGGTCACGAAGTGGGACGGCCTCTGGGACCCGAACGACCCGTCGCTCGTCGGCTGCGTCACCAAGCTCTCGTCCGCGGAGCTCTGAGAAGAATCATACCCGCCGCGCCCCCCCGAAGCACGCGCTCCCGCCCGAGGGCGGCGCCTATCCCTCGGCCAAGGTCAAGGCGGCCCTCGCGAAGGAAAGGGCCGCTAAGGGTTGATGTAGGCGGCACGTTTCCTGCTCCCAGGTCGCCATTTACCCCCGGTCGCGCGATGGCAGTTTCGGGCCGGGACCTCCAGAGCTCCGAATATGGGCGTCTCGGCGCTCATTCAAGTCGGCGCGTGGCTCGAGGTCGACACGGGCGAGCTGTCCAAGGCGCACCGGCGCGGGAAGCTGCTCAAGAAGAAGGCCCTGTACGCGCCGGCGTCGCGCATCAGCGCCCTCGACGAACGGAATTTCAAAAAGCGGCACCCCGAGCTCGCGGCCTTCCTGGGCGACGCGACGAAGCTCCTCGCGGAGTACCAGATCAAGCGCGAGCCCTACGAGCGCACGACCGACGACGGCCACATCGACTCGGAGATCTACGTGCTCGCGGCCTTCGACGCGAACGACGAGAGCGTGCAGACCTACGGCGGGCAACGCACCTTCGATCATACGGCCCGCCTCGACGAGCGGTACATCTGCTCCGCAGACGACGACGACGTCCGCGCGGCCATGCTCTCCGCCGGCCACACCTTGCGCAAGATCGTCGTCGCCCACGTCGCCGACGAGCACCGCGACGTCGCGGAGGCGCTCCTCATCGAGTTGGCCAAGGCGCGCTTCGGCGAGGTCAAGTGCGCGCAGTGGCCGACGCGGCAGGTTCCGGAGCGGTGGACCAAGCTCCAGCTCAAGTACCTCCGTTCGCTCCTGCCCGGCCACCCCATGTACGGCGCGGACACGTGGGCGCCGGGGACGACGCTCCCGGAGTGGCTCCAGCGGCGCGCGCCGGGCCGCACGCCCATGCCCGAGGGCCCCGCGCTCGAGCGCAGGCGCAAGGTCTCCAAGGGCGTGACGGTCCAGGCGCGCAAGAACGTCAAGATCGCGCGCCGCGACGGGGGGCTCACGCCCGCCGCGGTCGCGCGCGAGCTGGCGTCCCGGTGGAAGCCCGGGCACGCGCACGACGAGAATCTCTCTGCCGACGCGCTCGCGCGGCAAGAGGCCGGCCAGTTCAAGCCCGGGGACGGCCAGTTCAAGCGTTTGTGGAAAAATAAGCCGGACGCCATGCTCCTGACGACGCGGCGCCGCGGGCTCGGCTACTACGCGCTCGGCCAGCTCGAGGACGCCTTCGCTCGCGGCGAGACGAGCTTCGCATGCAAGCCGGACCCGCTGGACGAGGAGTCTCTCCCCGTCGCCTGCGAGTTCCAGCGCTTTAAGCTCAACCGCGTCGCGCGCGACGAGCACGGCAAGCCCGTGCACGACTCGACGAACAAGTCGGGCGACTTCATCGTCGTCGACACGGACGGCGACACGTGGTTCGCCTACGACGTCGCGCTCTCCATGGGCTTGATGGAGGAGAAGCTGGCCGAGCGCGCCGCCTGGGAGGAGCGCAAGTCCGCGCGCCTCGGCGCGAAGAAGCGCAAGTCCGCGCGCCTCAACGCGCCGCGCAAGTCCGCGCGCCTCGGCGCCGACTCCCACACCTGCCTCCTGTAAATATCCCATCCCCGCCCCCCGTCAGCTCTGTGGACGAGAAGGAGACCTCCCTGCCTAACACGTCCCTACCCGCAGCCGGCCCGCTCCCGCGCGCCGTCGCGGCAGATCTCGTGGAAGAGGAGCTGCACGATCGTCGAGCACGTCGGGCCGTGCACGTGCATGCCGTCCTCGGAGCCCTCGGGGCGGCTCGAGCTCGGGTTCCAGGCGTCGACGAAGCCCCAGCCCAGCGGCGCGAGGCCGCGGCGGATGAGGTCCGAGAACGCGCGGCTCCGGTTGTAGGTGCAGTAGGGCTCGCGGAACCCGTGGACGGCGACGCCGCCGAACTGGACGAACTGCGTCCGGATCTCGCGGCGGCAGGTGAGGTCGCGGACGCGGTCGTTCTTCGCGAAGCCTTCGACGAGCGCCTCGACCTCGCGGGACGTCTTGCCCCACTCGAGGTGTTGCACCGCGAAATTCGCGAAGACGATCCCGAGGCCGCCCGCGGGCACGCGTTCCTCGAGGCGACGGAGTACGCGACCGTCGGCGCCGGGCCCGAAGTCCATGCGCTCGTGGAAGACCTCGACGCCCGCCCGGGCGCCGATGGCCTCGAAGAACTGCGGAGCGCAGGCCTGCATCAGCGAGTCGCCGGCGAGGACGACGGCGCTGACGTTCCGACGCTTGAGGCAGGCGACGGCCTCGGCGGGCGGGCGTCGCTTCACGTCGCAGTCGTAGGGCCGCCACGCGTAGCCGTAGTCCCAGTCCGCGTCGACCTTGTAGTGGGCGTGCGGCGGCGCCGCCCGCTGCCGCGCGATCTCCGCGCACTCGGCCGCGTCCCCGGCGGCCGCCGTCGCGCCGCAGTCGAGCCGGACCCAGCGGCCCGGCGCGTCGCCGCCCGGGCACGCCGGGCGCGGCGCCGGCGGCGCCGCGGGCCCCGCGGCGACCGCCGCGGCGACCGGCGACCCGAGCGCGTGGGCTTGGCGCCGGCAGGGGCTGCGCAGGAGCTTCGTGGTCCACCCGTTCTTCGCGTTCACGATGCCCCCGAGGTACTTGACGACCGGCTCGGGCCTCCGGGGCCCGCTAATGGCCCCGGCGATCAAGGCCGCGAGCTCGTCGCGCGTGGCGTTGCGGGCCGGCGTCGGGACCGCCATCTGCGGCCGGCCGGGCGGAAGCTCCGCGGCCGCGCGGACCGCGGGGTCGTCGACCTTCGCGTCGCCGTCGACGCGCGAGAACATGTGGCACCACGGCGGCTTGCCCGGCGGGTACCTGCGGGACGATCGTCGCGCGCGGCCCTCGAAACGACGGACGCCGGCGGCCGATACTGCGTCCATCCGACGCACTGCTCGAAGAGCATGCAGCGCTGGACGCAAGGCATGAACGGGCTCCCGCGCTTGAGGGGGGGGCTTCGCCAGTCGAAGGGCTCGCCCGCGAGCGCGACCCCTTTCCGCTCGCGCTCGGGTTCTTTCGCGGGCTCGGCCCAGCCGCGGAGCCAAATGTTCAGGACGTCGATCTCGTAGTCGCCCGCCGCGAGGCCCCGCGGGAACGCGAGCGTCCACGCGCACTCCGTCGCCGACGGCGTCACGTCCGCGACCTCGATCGTCGGGCCCCGCGCGCGCGCCCAGAGCTCGAGCGCGTCGGGCTCGCACCAGGCGAAGTCCGGCGCCGCGAACGAGTACGCGTCCGTCCACGGCCCGGGCGCCGCCGCGTCGCAGCCGCGGACCGTCATCGAATACGGCTCGCCGGCGACGGGCGCCTCGGCGGGCGCCTCGACGACGAGCACCATGTTGTGCGCCGACAGGAGGTAGGACCGCGACACGGGGAGACCGCAGTCCAAGGCCTCGGCCTCCGGCAGCAAGAAGTCGTCCGGGAGCGCCGTGGGACCGGCGCAGTTCCGCGGGAGCCCGCGCGCGAGCGTCACGAGGAGGGCGATGATGGGCCAGACCATGGCGGTGAGCGATGAGAGGCGCTTGCCGTCGCCGAAAGCCACAAGCTAGAAAGCGTCCTCCTCAATCTGCTGAGGCAGCAGGATCTCCGACACCGCTTTGACTGTACATAATGGCTGTGGATCTGCCCACGCCCTTCTCGTTTACGAACATCTTTAAGCTCCACGCCGTCGTCGCGTTTGTCTTCCTCCTGCCCGTCCTGAACGGCGGCCTGAAGGGCTTCATCGAGACGATCACGGAAGGTGAATCCGCGGCGCCCCGACGTTGCGCCGTCTCGCGCGTGAATGCCCCGACGTTTCGCCGCCTCGTCCGGGAGAAACGTCGCCGCGTCCCGCTCGCGCGCTCGGCGTCGAGTCGGCGAACGCGACGCGTCCCGGCGCGCGCGACGCGTCCCGGCGGCGAAGCGGCGCGGCGCGCGACCGCTCGCGTCTCGCCACGCGAACGCGCCGTAGGCCACCTCTCGCAGCCCGACGAGTGGCACATGATGGTCTTCGGCGTCGACTTCGTCAAGAACATCATGATCTTCTTCCAATGCCTCGCGGGCGTGCGGATGCGCGAGCCCGAGCAGCGCATGCTCGCCGCGACGTTCATGTTCATGACGGCGGCCGCGCTCCTGAACATGTTCCTCTTCCCCGCGGGCGACCGCATGCCGCCCATGGGCGTGGGCTACACCGTCATCATGACGTGGCTCTACGGCGCCGCGTTCGCGCAGAAGGTCGACGAGGGCAAGAAGACGAAGTAGGTCACGATGACCGCGACTCCGAGGGCCGCCAGGCACCAGACCGCAAGAAGCCAAGACCACGAGAGGTCGCGAGGGAACGCCGAATAAAAATTACGGCCGGACCGGGCGAGCCTCGAGCTGGTCCAGGCGCCGCGCCGCGATACTAGTAGTCGCGAGTAACCTACGTCGGGATTTTCGTCATTGCGCCGGCGTAGATGTACGTTGATCGCCGCCTTGAAAGTTCCGTAGGGGGGCCTTTGGAGGCGTCTTTGGAGCCCAGGCCATCGTCTCCGCCAGTTAGCCGCGGCGCAGGGAGGGGAGAGAGAACAGCGATCTTCGCTGCTGCAGTAGCTTGCGCCGCGATGTGGGTCGCATGCGTCGTCGTCGCCCTGGTCCGGGTCGCCGGCGCCACGGACGCCTGCGACGCCTGCGAGAAAAGCGCGACGTTCCCCATACGCGAGGACTCGCTCCAGGCCGATCTCGACCGGTGGGCGGCACACCTGGACAGATTTGTGCTGGAACCGGAGTCTGTGGAGGACGGCTCGTGGAATCGCTCCAGGGCCTGGCGCCTTCGGGCTCGGACGTGCGGCGTCCGCGGGGGCGCGTGCGTCAAACCCCAGAACCCGGCCGACGCGTTCCGCGATATGACGGCCGGCGGCCGGCGCCTGATCAACGCGGGCGACTCGACGATGCGGAACTTCCACGCGGTTTTATGCCAGGGATACGTGCTCGGGGACGGGGACCCGGCGCGCGTCGCCGAGCTCGCGGCGCGCCTCAAGAAGGCCGCCCAGGAGCCCCGGGGCATGTTCGGCGCGCCGACGGCGTGCGGCGCTTCGCTGCGCCACGTGTCCTTCTACAAGTTGCACGATTGGCACGCGACGAAGGCCACGCTCGAGGCCGAGGCGCGCCCCGGCGACCTGGTCTACGTGCAGCTTCCGGCGCTGCACGCGCTGTGGAGCCCGACCGATTATCAGGGCACCGTCTGCGGGCTCGCGTCGACGGCCGACCTCGCGAGCCGTTTAGACGCCGTCGCCGCGGACCTCGCGGCGCTGCGCGAGGCCGGCCTGAACGTCGTCGTCGCGCTCGCGTCGCCGAAATGCGACCCGTTGAAGGCGAGTGCGGGGGGGGAGATCCTCCGCGCCTACGAGGACCAGGAGGCCGCGTTCCACGCGGGCCGCGCGCCGCCACTTCACGACGGGCCGGCGGCGGACCTCGCGGATCGCTTCGACGCCAAAGCCGCGAAGCACAGGACCGACACCGCGGCGACGTTCGCCGCCGCGGCCGCGCGCGTCCGCGCGACGGGCGTGTTGGAGCCCGACCCGACGTTCGGCGGCCACTGCAAATTGCACGACGACACGTTCGACAACTTCCACTTCAACGCCGCGGGCGTCGCCGCGTTCGACGCCGCGGGCGCCGCCGCCCTCGCGAGGTACCCGCGGCTCCCCGTCTTCGACCGCGCGCGCGCCCAGGCCTACGTCTGCGGCTCGCCGCTCCAGGGCGACGGCCACCACTTTGGCTTCCAGACGGCCCACCCCGAAGTGGCCGTCCTCGGCGCTCTCTTTCGCCTCGCGGACGACAACGCGACGGGCTGGACGTAAGCGGTTTTGAAAATTTACGGCCGGGCAAAACGGGAAAACACAAAAACACGTCAGGCCGCGGGCTTCGCGGGCGCGGCGGCCTGGGGCTTGGGCGCGGTGCCGTAGACGTAGACGGCGGCGACGACGGCGGCGCCGCCGAGGGCGAAGCTCGGCGTCGGCGCGTCGGCGCCGAGGAGCGCGCAGGCCGCGAAGGCGGAGACGACGATGGAGAGGCTCGCCGCGAGCGTCTTGAGGACGTTGTCCGCGTATTTCATGGCCGCGGCGACGAGGAGGCCGCCGGCGGCGTTGAGCAGCACGACCCCGTAGACGGCGGCCGTGAAGCCCGCGGCGCCGCGCGGGTCCGTCGCCGCGGGCCCGGCCGCGATCGCCGACCCGAGGAGGGCCATCTGCGCCGCGCGGCGCCACAGGTAGGACGCGTCGCTCGCGGGGCGCTGGAGCACGGCCTCCGTGTAGGTGCCCGCGGCGGCGCCGAGGCAGGACGTCGTCGCCACGCAGGCGAAGCCCAGCGGGTTTGGGGGCGATAGCGCGACGTCGCCGAGCGCGTCGCCCAGCTGGCAGACCGCGATGCCCGCCGCGAGCGCCAGGAGCGCGGCCCACTGGCGGCCCGAGACGTCGCGGCCCCGGAAGAGCTTCCCAAAAAACGCCGCCGTCAGCACCTTGGACTGGCTCAGGACCTGGAACGCCGCGACGCTCAGCAGGCGCACGGACACGTGGTGGAGCCGGTCGCTCGCCAGGTACAGGGCCGCCGGCGGCGCGAGCCGCGCGAGCTCCCGCGGCGCGAAGACGTCCGCCGCGCCCGCGGCGACGCCTTTCGCGCGCGCGAGGAGCGCGAAGGCGACGCCGAACTTGACGACCTCGCAGAGGAAGACGGCGAGCGTCGCCGAGAAGTCCGGCGACTCCGTCCGCGCCAGCTTCATGACGAGGCGCAGCGACGTGTTCTGGAGCACCAGGAGCGACAGCACCGCGACCTTGACCGTCGACGCCGTCATGGCGCCGTCGAGCTCCCGCGCGAGGGCTATCGCACTGCGGCAAAAGGTTAACGACGAGTTCAACTTGAGGATTGCTAAATCGCCACCTAAAGGCTGCCCGACCAACCGTCGAGCCGGGCTGCCCACACCACCGCCGCCATGGGCCGCGGCGGCCTGCGGGCCGGCCCCGAGGTGCGCGGTCGGCCGACGCAGCGGCGGAGCAGCAAGCAGATCGAGGCCCTCATCCGCGGCGGCCTGCGGCGCAGCGAGAAGCTCGCCGACGAGGCCGTCGGCGGCGCCGTCAACGGCGAGCTCTGGGCCGTGACGCGGCGGCGCGGGCGCGACAAGCTCTGGGCGCCCTTCGACCCGGGCAACCGGCGGCTCGTGTCGACGCGCGACGCGCGGCGCGCGCTCCGGTCCGTCGGCGTCGACGTCTCGTACGCCGAGCTCGCGGCCGTCGACGGCGGCGGCGCGCCGCGGGGCCACGTGCGCTACGACGCCCTCGCCGGCGCCCAGCCCGAGGCGCCGGAAACGCCGAGCTACAGCGCCCTCTACCGCGAGAAGAAGGAGCTCGAGCGCCGCGCGCGGCCCGCGGAGGACGCGCTCGTCGACGGCCTCTCGGCCGCGTCGGAAGTCGCGCCGCTCCGGCGCAAGCTGCGCCAGCGCGACGCGTCGCGGAGCGGCGAGCTCGCGCCCCGCGACTTCAAGCGGGCCCTCCACGACCACTACGGCAGCGCCCTCGACGACGAGGACTTCGACGCGCTCTGCGACTGCTACTCAAAGCGGCTGCCGTCGTGCCGCCGCGGCGGCCAGGCGGAGCGAAAAGGATTATGCCCCGCGACGCGCCACCGGCGGAACCACAACGACGACGACGACGCCATGCGCGCGTCGCTGCACCGCGCGCCCGAGGGCGGCGGCGAGGCGCTGGGCCGCGCGCCGCCGACGCACTTCGAGCCCTTATTTCGCGCCGTGGACTACGAGCTCTTCCTCAACACGCTCGAGAGCCGCGCCGACGAGGCCTACGGCCACGAGGCGCCCCACGTCGCCGCGCACAAACCCGCGGCGCCCCGGCTCGCGCCGCCGCCGCCCTTCGCGACGGGCGACGCGACGTCCGCGTCCAAGGTCCACGTCGACGACGGCGCCGCGAGCCTCCTGCCGCCCAAGGAGGAGGTGTCGGGCTACGCCTCCGACGGCGCCCTCTGCTGGACCGCCGCGGGCCGCCGCGCGGCGCGCAAGGTCGCCCGGGTCCTCGAGGACGACGGCGCGCGCGACCGCTGGATGCGGTCCGTCGGACCGCGGGCGGGCGAGCCCGTGGCGCTCCAGCACCTCGCGGCGCTCGGCGTCGACCTGACGCCGCCGGAGGCGCGCTTCGCGCTGAAACTGGGCACGGCCGACGACGCGTTCTGCGGCCGGCGCCTCGTGAAGACCGCGATCAAGGCGTGCGACGCGTTCGACGCGAAATCCGAGGGCGCGCGCGCGAAGACCTACGAGGACCACTACGCCCACTGCCCCCACATGCTCCGGCGCGGCCGGACGAACGTGCGGAGCACGCTCGGCGTGGGCCACCGCGTCGTCGAGGACTTCGCGTTCTCGGACGCGCGGCCGACGAGGCGACTGAGCGCCGCGGAGCGCCGCGAGCGGCTGAGCCTCGAGCGCGCGGCCCAGGCCGTCGCCCGCACCTGCGGCGGCGACCCGGCGAAGCGCCGGGCGGCGCTCCGGGACGCCCTCGACGGCGGCGACGTCGCCGCGTCGCTCGCGGCGCGGCACCACGTCCTCGCGCCCGGCGACGCGGGCCGCCTCGCCAGCGCGGCGTCGTCCCTCACGAAGCCCCTCGCCGAGGCCCTCGAGGGCGTCCTCTTCCGGGGCAAGGACGCCGTGCTCTCCGCGCGCGCGCCGTCGCCGCGCCGCGCGTTGGCGGCGTTCGCGCCGGCGCCGCGGCGGCTCCCCGCGGACCTGCCCCTGTCCTGCTCCGACGCCGAGCCGTCGACGGTCGTCTCCATCCCGCGGCACCCGCCGCCCATGGAGACGGCCGCGCGGCCCGCGGCGCACCGCGCCGCGGACGCGGCCGTCGCGCGCGCGGCCGCCGCCGTCGTCGCCGCGCCGTCGCCGACGTTCGCGTCGAGCGACCTCACGCTGCCCTTCGCGACGCACCCCGTGCGCGGCCGGGGCAGCAGCCGCCGCGCGGACACGCACATCTGGAAGTTCCCCGAGGGGTCGCACGACGAGCCCCTCTACGCGTCGACGCGGCGCTGCGTCGCCGCGAGCTCGAGCTGCGCGCGCATCGGCCGGCGCCGCTCCCACAGCGCGCCGCCGCGGCCCCTGCTCCCGCCGCCCGTGGACCCGGGCCGGCCCGCGACGCTGAGCCCGGCGGCGCGGTGCGCGCGGTCGAGCTCGTGCCGGCCCGCGCCGCGGCCCCTCGCGACCTTCCTCTGAGGACGTTCCTGAAACATCCGCGCCCCGCGACGACCTAAACAACGAGCGCGCGCGTCTCTCCCGGGTCCCCCCACGCCTCGCGGTGCCGGCGACGAGCGCGTCTCCGTTACGAAACGCGCCGCGCGTTTCTCCGACCCCGCTCACTTGCTGTCGGCGATGAGGTAGGAGAAGAGCTTGCGGAAGCTGCCGTCGAGCTTCGTGAGCTTCTCGGAGAGGAGGGCGAGCTTCTTGGGCGTGCGCTGGCCCTTGTCGTTGAACTTCGCGGCGGCCTCGGCCTCGACGAGGTCCTGCAGGATGCCGCGCGTGATGCGGTCGACGCCCTTCTGCGTGTCCTCGTCGAAGACGGGCGTCAGCGCGTTGAAGGTCGCGCGCACCTTGACGAAGTCGTAGTCCGTCTTCAGCGTCTTGGCGACGTCGGCCTGGTCGTTCGCCGCGAGCGCCTTCTGGAGGTTGACGATGCCGACGGCGTAGCCCTTGAAGTCGCCGAGCGCCGCCTTGACGGGGCCGCTGTTCAGGGCCTCCTTGTCGAGGACGGCGTCGCCGGCCTTGACGATCTCCATGGAGTAGACGCCCTCGTAGGCGAGGGCCGGCGCGGCGACGGCCGCGGCGGCGGCGCCGACGAAGCCGCCGAGCGACCGCCGCGTCGCGAGCTTGGGCGCCTGCTGCGGCGCGAGCGCCATAGCGGAGGCGCTGAGGGCGAGGGCTGCGACGGAGAGGCGGGCCATGGTAGCAGCGCGACGGAGACACGACGGACGACACTGGCCTGTGTCAGCGCGACCTCAAGGAGACCGCGATCTCGACGGCTCTCGCGGCTCTTCCAGCCTCACGACGAGGTTACTTACGAGGTTGCCGTTCGTCGCCCTTACAATCTCTCGGCGCGCGAGCACCTCAATCCAGGATTAAACAGACAAGCGTGTTCCCTAGTCACGCTTCTTCGCCGCGCGCTTCGCGTCGGCCTTGCGCGCGGCGGCCGCGAGCTGGGCCCGCGTGCCCGCGGCCTCGCACATGCCGTAGAAGACGCCTCCCGCGTCCTCGAGGAGCTTCGACGGCGCGTCGAGCTCGACGAGGCCCCCCTTGTCGAGGACGAGGACCTTGTCGCAGGTCGCGATGGTGCCCAGGCGGTGCGCGATGGTGATGCGCGTGCCGTCGGAGAGCGCGCCGTCGTTCAACACCTTCTGGATGTTCCGGTCCGTCTGCTGGTCGACGTTCGCCGTCGCCTCGTCGAGGAGCACGAGCCGCGACCGGCGCGCGATGGCCCGCGCGAGGCAGAGGAGCTGGCGCTCGCCGACGCTCAGGTTGTTGCCGAACTCCGCGAGCTCGAAGTCGAGCGGCAGCTCCGCGACGGACGTCGGCGCGCCGCCGCTGCCCGCGGTCGACTCGCCCAGCGACGACAGGGACCCGTGGGAGCCCGCGCTCTCGAGGCCGCCGCCGCGCGACAACCGTAACGCCTCGAGGAGCTCCTCGTCGGACCGCTCGCCGAACATGTCGAGGTTGAAGCGCACCGTGCCCGCGAAGAGCGTCGGCGCCTGCGGCACGATGGCCACGCGGCCCCGGAGCGTCTTGAGCCCCACCGACGCGATGTCGACGCCGTCGATGGTGATGACGCCGCCGTCGATGGGGTAGAGGCGCAGCAGCGACTGCAGCAGCGTCGACTTGCCCGCGCCCGTCCGCCCGCAGACGCCCACACTTTCCCCCCCTGAAACGGTGAGCGACAGGTGCCGCAGCGCCGGCGACGGCTGCCGCGGGTACGTCAGCGACACGTCCTTGAACTCGACGGTCCCCTTCGTGTCCCGGAGCCAGGACGGCCCGTCGCCGTCGAGGAGCAGCGGCGGCTCCTCGGGCAGGTCGACGTACTCGGCGATGCGCTCGACGGCGTTCATCGACAGCTCCAAATCCGTGTAGGTCCGCAGGAGCCCGATCAAAGCAGACGTAAAAGAAACGGCGTAGGTCAGGACGAGCCCCGCCTGCGGCGGCGGCAGGCCGCCGCCCGACGACGCCGCGCGCGCGTATAAAGCCACGGCCGTCGCTCCCGCGACCGTCGCGCCGAGCGTGTTCAGCCGCACGGAGAGCCAGTAACTCAGCGCGAAGAGGTGGAGCTCCGCCGAGTTCGTGCGGTCCACTAAACGCTGGAAGTCACTGGAAAAACGGCCGAAGGCGCCCGTGAACGCGCGCAGCGTCGCGAGGCCGTTGAGCGACTCGTTGAAGAGCGCGTAGACGGGCGACTTCGTCGTCGAGTCGATGCGCTTCAGGTCCCGCGCGATCGACAGGTAGCGCAGCGCCACGGAGAAGGCGACGGCGAGCACGGGGACGAAGCAGGGCAGGAGCCAGGGCACGCGGCGCCCGATCGCGAAGAGCGACACGAGCGGCGCGACCAACGACCGGATGAGGAACATGACCGTGTTCGACACGTTGCGGTCCACGGCCTGGACGTCCGTCGAGAAGCGGTTCTGCACGCGGCCCACGGGCGACGCGTCGAACCAGGCGACTTTGTTCCGGAGCACGGCCCACGACAGCCGCTCGTGGATGACCTCCGACGCGCGGATCGCGCCGCGGTTCTGGCAGTTGATGGCGACGAACGTGAGCCCGACGAAGAAGCCCGTCCAGGCCAGATACACATAGACCGGCGCGCCGCTCAGGGGCGGCCGCCCGCGCTCCATGAACGCGATCCAGTTCGTCAAAGCGTTCGCCTGCACGTACTTGATCGGCTGCTGGAGCACGAAGATCGACGACCCGACGAAGAAGAAGGCGCCCGCGGACCGGAGGTAGAGCAGGGCGTAGCGCAGCAGCGGCGCGCCCTTGGCGCGCTTCTCCTCCTCGACGAGCCGGCCGTCGCCGCGCGCCTTCTCGTCCGGCGTCTTCTCCTTGGGCTCGCCCTCGGCGCCGCCGTCGTCGTCCTTCGCCGCCGCGAGCTCGCTGAGCTCCGCGAGCAGGTCCGGGAACTCGTCGCGCATGCGCTCCGGCGGGCCCGACGCCGCGACGGACCCGTCGGGCGCGAGGATGAGCACCGTCGTCGCGCCCGGCAAACACAGGCTCACCTGGTGCGTCGCGAGGAAGACGGTCTTGCCCCGCTTCACGAGGCTCTCGAGGATGGCCTTGTGGTAGAGGTGCTCGCCGACGTGGGCGTCGACGGCGGACAGCGGGTCGTCGAGCAGGTAGACGTCCGCGTCCGCGTAGAGCGCGCGCGCGAGCGCGATGCGCGCCTGCTGCCCCCCCGACAGCGTCACGCCCCGCTCGCCGATCTCCGTGCGGTCGCCCGCGGGGAAGGACGCCAGGTCGCCGCCCAGGGCGCAGGCGTCGACGCAGGCCGCGAGCCGCGCGTCGTCCGCGGCCGCGCCGAACGTCACGTTGTCGCGGACCGTCGCGTTTTGGCACCAGGCCGTCTGCGGGCAGTAGGCCGTCGTCCCGCGCAGGGCCACGTTACCACGTAAACGCTTGATCTCGCCCAGGAGCGCCGCGAGGAGCGAGCTCTTGCCGCAGCCCGTGGGCCCGCAGACGAGCACGAGCTCGCCCGGCCGCGCGGCGACGGACACGCCCCGCAGGGTGAGGCCCCGGCCGTCGCCGTCGCCCGGCGGACCGCCCCAGCGGAAGTCCGCGTCGTCGACGTCGACGGCGCCCACGGGGCCGCCGCCGGCGCCCTCGTTGGGCTTCGCGTCGACGTCCGGCGCGTCCAAAAACGCCTCGACGCGCTGCAGGCTCACGTAGCCCGTGATGAGGAACGTCGCGGCCTGGGGCGCCTGCATGAGCACGAACCGCAAATTGTCCAGGAGCGTCAGCGCCGTGAAGCCCGTCGCCGCGTCCACGCGCTTGCCCAGGACCGCCGTCAAAAAGACGAACGTCGCGACGCCCATGATGGGAGGGGTGCTGTTGATCAACGTGAACACGTACACCAACACGTCCAAAATGTCCTTGAGCTTGCCGAGCTCCGCGTCGCGGCGCTTCTTGATGGACGCGAAGAGGCCCTCCTCGTAGGCGAGCATCTTGACGATCCGCGCGCCCTGCAGCATCTCCGTGACGAGCTCCAGCCGAAAGTTCCGCGCCTTGAGGAACGCGCGGTTGCTGTCCGCGAGCGTCTTGAAGAGCCGCTTGTTCACGACCGTGTTCAGCAGGATCACGAAGAGCGCCCCGAAGGCCGCGAGGTCCACCAACCAAAACAGCGCGCCGAGCGTCAGACACAGCTGGAGCACGGGCCCCCAGGTCCAGTGGAAGTACGAGATGGCCGTCAGCACGTTCTGGATGTCCGCCGACATGAGCCCGACGACCTCCCCGACCTTGCCGCCGCCCTTGGCGTCGCCGTCGCCCGACGACGCCGCGGCCATGTCGATGGTGCCCGCCTTGTCGTAGATGAGCACCATCAGCGCGCCGCGGCAGCGCGTCGCGACGCGCCGCTGGACGAACATCTGCATGGCGTCCAGGTAGCAGTTGATCACGGGGCCGAAGAAGAGCAGCCCGACGGCCGTCCAGCCGAGCGCGTCGTTCTTTCCGAACTGGCGCAGGATGATGTACATGGCGGCCGGCTGGAAGTAGCCGCTCAGCACGTACAAAAACCGGCACAGACCCGCGAGCAGGAAGTGGGACTTGCACAGCACGCAGAGCACGTAGAAGAGGTTGAGCGTGCGCGTCCGCGACTTCTCGCCGCCGCGCGCCGCGGGCGACGCCGCGAGCGCCTTTTGGAGGGCCGGCCACGTCGTTCCGACTAGATCGCCCTCGACCTGGCGCGGCAGGTCCCCGAGCCCCAGGTTCTCGGCGCCGAGGCGCTGCTTCGCCGCGAAGACGCCGTCGAGCCACGTGAAGAATAAAATCTCGTGGAGCTCGACCGCGGCCTCCTCCGCGGACGGCGGCGCGGACCGCCGCGCGCCCGCGGGCGCCGCGCACGACGCCGCGAGTGCCACGAGGACGACGACGCCGTGGAAGGCCAAAGCCCAGAAGCAGGGCGCGCCCAGCGAGAACTTGGCGCCCGTGCGCGCCTCGCGGAGCGCCGCGACGGCCGACAACAAAGCGAACACCGCGACGGCGCCCGTCGGGCGGCGCCCGTCGGAGCCCTTGACCTCCGCGGCGTCGGCGCGCGCGGCGATTATCCAGGCGGCGACGCGCAGCGCGTCGGCGCCGAGGCGCCAGAGCCGCGCCTCGCCCTTGGCGCTCCCGAGGCCCCGGCCGTTCGCGAGGCGCACCGCGTAGACGACGACGCCGATGAGGTAGAAGCACGCGACGACGTAGAAGAGGAGCTGCCGCAGGGCCAGCGGGCCGCGCGCGGGCACGAAGAAGGACTCGTCGCCGAGCAGCGGCGCCTCGAGCGTGTCCTCGGCCGTCGACAGCGCGCTATACTTGGCCGACCGGCCCGACCGGCCGCGCCGCCGGGCGACGACGAGCCAGATGCCGGCGAAGAGGAACGCGACGAGCGCGAGCAGGCACATCTGCTGCTCGCGCTCCTCGAGCAGCGAAGGCATGGCGACCATCGCGCGCGTGTGCAGCGTACCGCGACGACGATGGCTGATCGCGCGCGTGTGCAGCGTACCGCGACGACGATGGCTGGATGACGCAGTCCGCTTGGTCGCGCTGAGGAGTGGACGCCCGAAAGAAGCCGTTCAAGCAGTAACGATGCAGCGCAAAGAGCAGCCCGCGCCGCGAGTCATACGAAAGTCATAGCAGCCCGAGCCTTCTCGACGCGCTCTCCGCACCATGTACTCCCTGCTTACCGTCGCCGCCCTGCTCGCCGCCGCGGCTAATGCCGCGGCCAATGCCGCCGCCGTCGCCGCGCCGCTGGCGCACGCGCCGCACGACGGCTGGGCGGCCACCGACGGCTCCTCGCCCTACATGATCGTCGAGGACGACGCCGCCGCGCCGGCGCACGCGCCGCACCACGGCTGGGCGGTCACCGATGGCCCCTCGCCCTACATGATCGTCGAGGACGAAGACGCCTGGGAGAAGCTGCTGCTGCTGCAAGGCATCCTCGACGAGCTCTACGCGGACCCGCGCGTGTCGCTCGTGGAGGTGCCCCTGGAGGGCGGCGCGACGCTCCTGCTGAAGGAGGACGAGGCCGACGACTACCTGAATCGCACGGAGGTCAACGACGAGCCCTGGGCCCACCTGGGGTTCGACTCTTTTTTCCTCGCGCTGCGCCAGCGGACCTTCTTCCAGCTCATGCGCGCGGTCGCGCAGCAGCCCCTTGCGGCCGTCCCGGGGTACGACCCGGCCGCGCCCGCGGGCCGCCTCGAGCGCTTCGTCGGCGTCTTCCTCCTCGTCTCGACGCTCGTCGCCTCGCAGCTCAAGGGCATCGACGTCGAGGCCGCGGCGCCCCCGCCCGCCTGGTCGAAGAACAAGCGCCGCGGCGCCAAGAAGTGAGCGCGCGCCCCCCCGCCCCTAAGCGGCCCTTTTGACGCGATCGAGGCCTTAGGACGCGCCGGCGGCCGCGCTGCCCCGGCGCTTGCCCTTGGACGAGGACGCGCCGAGGAAGGCCGGCGGCGCGGGCAGGTCCACCTCGACCTCGAGCGCGCGGAACTTGGTCTCGACGTCGCGCTGGTACTTGCTGAAGTCGCGCGCGGCGCGCGCGAGCTTCGTCTGGACGGCGAGGCGGATGCGCTCCGCGAGCTTGTCCGTCGCGTCCGCGCGCGCGGCCGCCGCGGCCTCGGCCGCCGCGGCCGCGTCGACCTTGAGCGACAGGCGCGCGTTCGCCTGCTTGAGCTGGTCGATGCGGTCGTCGGTCTGCGTCGCCAGGATGCCGTGCTTGCGCTTCGCCGCCGCGCGGTCGTCGACGGACGTGGACAGCGCCAATTTGAGCTGCGTGGCCTCGGCGCGCAGCGCGTCGTTCTCCCGCTTGAAGGTCGCGACGCGCGTCGACGCCTTGGCCGCCTCGCGCGCGAGCTCGGCCGCGCGCGCGAGCGCCTTCTTCGTGTCGCGCTTCGACGCCTCGAGCCGCTCCGCGGCGTCGTCGCCGGGCTCGGGCCGCCGGCTCCGCCGCGCGCTCTTGAGCGCGAGGCGGTCCTCGGCCGCGAGGTTGTCGCGCGTCTTCGCGCGGTCCTCCAAGAGGCCCGCGCGGCGCTCCGCGTCGTCCGCGCGCTTCCGCGCGGCGTCCGCGGACGACCGCGCGGCCGCGAGGGCGCGGCCCCGGGACCGGAGGTCGTCCTTCGTCTCCGCGTGGGCCCGCCGCTCCTCCGCGAGGTCCCGGCGCAGCTCCGCGGCGCCCGCGGTCGGCCTCTTGTCGAGCGCGGCCCGCGCGGCCTCGTACTTGTCGCGCCACTCGTCGCAGTCGCCGCAGCGGTCCGCGTACATCTGGCGGAGCTCCGTCGCGTCCTGGAGCATGGCGGCGATCTGGCCCTGGAGGCGCCGCGTCTCCGCGGCGAGGCGCGCGTTCTCGCGCTCGGCCGTCGTCCGGCGGAGCGCCGCCTGTGTGGATTCCAAATCTTCAACCCGACTTCAATGTGCGCGTAATCGAACGGTTTGGACCAGACTCTTTCGCTGTGCGTCGAGAACTCGACGAGAGCAATCGATTCGTCCAAAAATCAGCCGAATCGACTTCGATTTGACCGAGATAGAGAGTTCTGAAGTTTGGTGGGGACCCCCCAAAGCAGTGGGTGGAATCCACACTGAGCGCCGCGTCCGACTCGACGATGAGCGCGGCGACGGGGTCCGGGAGCGGGTCCCGGGGCGGCGCGGCCTGCGACGCCGTCTCGAGGTAGCGCAGCGGGACGCCGTAGTCCTCGGCCCGCGGCGCCGGCGACCGCGGCGGCGCGCGCGCGCGCGGCCGCGGCTCGGGGCTCCGCGGCGGCGACGGCGGCCGCGGCGGCGGCGGCGCCGCCTCGGGCTCCGGCGCCGCGCGGCGCGGCGGCGGCGGCGGTACGGCGGCGTCGACGTCCGGGATGTGGTCGACGGTGGCCCGGAGCGCGGCGTGGAGCACGGCCCGCTCGGACGCGGCGGCCGCGCGGACGGCGCGCGCCTCGCCGTCGCGGATCTCCGAGTTGGCGCGCGCGAGCTCCCGTCGCGTGCGCTCGAGCTCCGCGGCGACCGTCTCCTCCTTGGCCCGCTGCTCGTCGGCCTCGCGCGCCTCGCTGAGCTGGAGCTGGGCCCGCAGGAGCCGGTCGCGCGTCGCCTCGAGCTCGGCCGTCGCCGTCGCGAGCGCGTCGGCCGTCGCGCGCTCCTGGACCGCCGCGAGCTTCTCCTCGAGCTCATCGGCGCGCGCGACGGCGGCGGCGCGCGCGGCCTCCGCCGCCTCCTCGCGCCGCGCGGCCGCGCGCGCGTCCGCGGCCGCGCGCGCCTCGTGCTCCGCGCGGCGCCGCGCGTCCGCGGCCGCGGCGGCGCGCGCGGCCTCGGCCGCGGCCTCGCGCTTCGCGAGCTCGTCGGCGCGCTGGAGGGCCGCCGCCGTCGCCCGGGCCCCGCTGTCGGACGCGCTCGACGACGCGTCGTCGTCGTCGACGAGCTCGACGACCTCGCGGCGGTCGCCCCGCGGCGCGCGGCGCCGCGGCGCCTTCTGCGGCGACCCGCGGCGCGCGGCGTGGCGCCGGCGGCGCGCCTCCTCGGCGGGCCCCAGCTCCTCGTTGACCTCGTCGGCGCTCAGGGGCCGCACGCGGCCGACGAGGCCCATCGACGCGGACAGGTCCGCGAGCGCGCGCTCCGTCTCCGCGGCGGCCGCGAGCGCGTGGGGCGAGTAGGACCGCGCGACCTCCGCCGCCGCCGCCGCGCTCACGAGGATGTCCCCGCGGCGGGCCTCGCGCGGCGGGGGGGCGCGCGGGGGCGCGCGGGGCGGCGCCGGCGGCGGCGCGGCCACGTCCTCCTCGGGCGCCGCCGCGAACTCCGCCGCGTAGCGCTCGAAGGCCGCGCCCGCGTCGCCGTCGTCGTCGTCCGAGTCGAAGAGCCCCGCGCGCCAATCCGCCATATCGGGTGTCTACGCAACCACCATGCTCTTTCCAACGTTCGCAGCCGGGGCTGCCGATGGCAAGCGCTGGCTGCCCCTCTCTATGATGGGCGACGCCGCCGTCCAGCCGCCGAAGCCGCCGGCGCTCTTCGACAGCGACGACGACGACGGCCGCGGCGCCGCGGCGCCGCCGGCCCGGCGCGCGCAGAATCCGGGCTTGTTCGACGACAGCGACGACGACGCCGGCGCCGCGGCGCCGGCGGCCCGAGGCGCGCCGCCGGTCCTCTTCGACGACGACGTCGGCGCCGCGCCGCGGCCGCGGCGCGCGTCGTCGCTGGACGCGGACGGCGAGCTCTTCGCGCTGCGCTGGCGCGTCGCGTCGCTGGAGGAGGCGCTGCGGCTCGAGCGGCAGAGGTCGCGCGCGCTCGAGGACGAGCTCCGGGGCCGGCCCGGCGGCGGCGCGGACGCCGCGGCCGCGGCCGAGCCCGCCGCGGCGCCCGAGCCCGCGCGCGCGGCGCCGCGGCGCCGCCGGCCGACGAAGATGGCCGCGACGTCGACGCAGCGCCGGCCCGTGTCGCTCGCGCGCGCGCGCGGCAAGACGGCGACGGCGCCGCCGGCCGCGGAGCCCGCGGCCGCCGCCGCGGCCGCCGCGCCGGCCGTGCGCGACTACTGGTCGTCGTCGTCCGAGGACGGCGCCCGGCCGCCGGCGGCGGCCGCGCGGGCGGACGACGACGCGGGCCGCGACGACGCCGCGGCGCTCGCGGCCGTCCGCGCGTGGGCCGGCCGCTGCCGCGGCGACGTCGTCGCGATGCTCGCCTCCGCGGCGGAGCTCCTCCCGGGCCTGCGCGACCTCGAGCCCCTCGGCGACGACCCGGACGACCGGGCCGTGCGGAAGGCCTACCACCGCGTCGCGCGCCGCTGCCACCCGGACAAGCTCCCGCCGGGGGCGCCGGACCGCGCGCTCGCGGCCTACGTGTTCAGCGCGCTCACGGACGCCCGGGAGGCGTGGAGGGGGAGGGGATGACCGCTTAAAATTGGGCTTCAACACTCGTTGTTGCTGTGATATTGAATGGCCAGTGGCAAAGTCTTCGTGTTCTCTGCGTGCTCCCGCCGGCGCGCGCGCCGTGCTAGCTCTCTGCGCCCCCCCAACTCGTGCCCCGGTGCGCGCCGCGAAACGCCCACGACGGCGACCCTCGGGCGGCGGCGGCGACGGAGTATGGGTTGCTGCGGCAACTGGTGCCGCTCCTGCTGCCAGAGCCTGGGCAAATTCGCCCTGCTCTGGATCAACTTCGTGGACCTCGCCTGCGGCGGCGCGGCCATCGGCTTCGGCGTGTACCTGAAGACGGCGGGCGCGGACTCGCCGCTCATCGACGACGTCGCGCTCGCGTCCCTCGCGCTCGGCGGCGTGTTCCTCCTGAGCTCCGTGCTCGGGTTCCTGGGCGTCGTCTTCTCGGACTCCGGGTGCCTCATGAAGACGTCGGCCTGCCTCGCGATCCCCATCGCGATCGGTGAGTTCGCCGGCGGCGTCGGCCTCGCGACGATGAAGCCCCACGTGACCAAGTACCTCGACGGCCACGCCGCGTCCGTCGACGAGGACGTCGTCTCCCGGTGGTACTTCGTCGTCGTCGGCGCGCTCTTCGGCGCGGCCTTCCTCGAGCTGCTGCGGTACAAGATGACCGTGTCCCTGAAGCGGTCGCTGTCCGCGGACGTCGACCGCATGTACCGGTCGCTCAACGACGACGAGGCGGACGCGCGCGAGCGCCAGGCGGACGCGTCCGAGGCGCGCCGCGAGCGCTACGCGGCCATGCGCGAGCACTTCAAGGCCAAGTACGCGCCGCCGGACCCGGACGCCGTCGCGCCGGACTCCTCCGACGAGGAGGCGGGCGCCGCGCCGCCGAAGCCCAAGGAGAGCCCCTGGTACACGTCCCTCTAACGCCCTCGCCCGAGGAAGCGCGCGGCGTCGATCGCCCCCTCCCGCCGCCGCAGGAACGCGGCCCGCATGGCGGCGACGCGGGGCGGGTGCGCGCGCGCCGCGTCGAAGCACGCGCTCACGGCGTGGGGGCTGTAGGACGCGCGGACCGGGTCGGCGAAGAGCGCGTCGTCCGCGGCGTCGCCGCAGGCGTCGAAGACGCGGCCCCGCGCGGGGAAGGCCGCCGTCGCGGAGAAGAGCGACGGCGCGACGACGAGGACGTCGGCCGTGACCATGCCGTGGAACGCGAGCGTGACGTCGCCGCCGGCGTGGACGGTCGTGTTGATGCCGCGCCGCAGCCCCCAGCGCTCGAGGTAGCGGAAGGTCAGGGCGTAGCGGCCCCGGCCGTCGGGCGCGGCGTCGTGCTCGACGGCGTCCGGCGGCGGCGCGCGCGCCGCGCCCGCGGCGGTCCCGAGCGCGAAGGCCTCCGTGAAGACGTGGACGCGCGGCTCCAGCGCGCAGGTCCGGACGACCTTGTCGAGGGCCGCGAGGACGCCCGCGTCCGCGACCGTGCGGTTCGGGATGGCCGTCAGGACGTCGCCGAGCCGCCGGTGCACGGCGACGTCGCACGCGGCGTCCGAATAGCCGAGCGCCGCGTCCAGGCGCGGCGCCCGCGCGAAGCCGTAGCGCCGCCGCGCGCGCGCCCGCGCCCGCGCGAGGGCCGCCCGGGGCGTCGTCCGCTCGCGCCGCGCGTACGCGGCCATCGCGCCGGGCGCGAGCAGCGCGGCCCGCTCCGGACCGTCGCGGTCGCGCGGCCGCGAGCCGCCGCAGGCGTCGACGCAGCGGTTCCGGCCCCGCTCGGGCGCGTAGCCCAGGAGGGCCTCGATGTCCGCGCGCGTGGGGCCGTCGGCGGCGTCGCCGGACGCCGAGTGGCGGTAGACCTTGGCGCCGCGGCCGAAGACGCCGCTCGACCGGAAGGCGCGGCCGTGCCAGAGCGCCGCGCGCTCCGCGCGCTGGACGCGCTGCAGGCAGTCGCCGACGGCCGTGCAGGTCTGCCGGCAGGTCACGCAGCGCGCCGGCACGGCCCAGGACGGCGCCAGGCAGCCCCACAGCGATTTCTTCTGCTTCCGGCACCGCTGCAGGGACCAGGACGTGCTGAGCAGCGCGCCGAGCGCGAGCGACCCGGCGAGCGCGACGACGACGACGCAGGCGAGGCCGCACAAGGCGGCGCGGCGGCCGATCATCGCGTGCGGGCAGTGGCCAGCAGCGCCATGTCCGCAGCTTCGGGGCAACGTCGACTTCAGCTGGGCAGCCCGGCGTGATGATGGACACCTCAGCCTCGGTTCTCATGGCGCTCGTGGCGTCCATCGCCGCATTCCTGCTGCGCAATCGGTACGTCGCCGCGCGCGCGCACGCGGAGAGAGCGGCCGCCAAGGCGAAGCAGAAGGCCGCCGACGACGAGTTGCGGGAGAAGGTGAGGCAGGCCGTGGACGCCGCCAAGGCCGAGACGAAGGACGACGACCTGCTCAGCTTTTACGCGGGCTAGACGCGCCTCGTTGGTCTCCGTAAAACCATGCGCCGAGCGACCCCGGGCCGACCGCGGCGCGCGCCTTACTCGCCGCGCGCGCGGCGCCGGAGGAACCGGCGGTAGGGCTTGAGCGCGTGGTTGCGCCGCGTGTAGAAGACGACGTCGTTCCAGTCCGTCTCGTCCGCCGTCGGTTGGACGGGGTCCGCGTCGTTCTCGAAGTCCGACGTCATGCGGAAGCGCTTGTCGCCGTGGCACGCGCCGTCCGGGTCGTAGTCGCGCGCGCAGAGGATCGCGTTGAGCGCCGTCTGCTCCTGGCGGTGGTTCGCCCGCGAGCTGCCCGGCGGGTTGATGCAGTCCGGGTCCGCGACGCAGTCGACGAGGCGCGGGAGCACGTCCCGCGCGAGCCAGCCGCGGCGCGCGGCGCCGATGAACGTCGTCGCGCAGTGCTCGCGGGAGAAGTCGGGCGCGGCGCAGCCGAGGCGCGCGAGGGCCGCCGGGTGGTGGAACTGGGCCGTCGGGAAGCGGTAGGGGTGCTCGACGAGGAAGTGGCCGCGCTCCGCGACGAGGCACCGGACCTCGTCCAGGGGCCGCCGGAGCTCCGCGTTCGCGTCGATCCACAGCGTCGCGCCGTGGGCCGCGAGGGCGTCGGCGACGACGGCGGCCTTGAACGCGTAGGTCGACGCGTTGAGCAGGTGCGGCGGCACGTCGCGCTCGGCGACGGCGACGCCGTAGCGCGCCGAGAGCGCGCGCGCGGCGGCCGGCGCGAGGGGCAGGAGGCGCACGTCGGCCATGGCCGCGACGTCGGCCCGGGCCGCCGGCGAGAGGCCGAGGTCGTAGACGTCGAGGACCTCGCCGGGCTCCCAGAAGTGGAGCGAGCCGACGAGGTTCCCGAGGATGCCCTCGGCGACGTAGCGCTCGCTCACGGCCGTGATGAGGCGCGGCCGCGCGGCGATCGCCGCCGCGACGGCCGCGCGCAGCCCCCA